AGGGTTGTCCAGCTGGTCTTGTGTTCAGGTATGCTTGTACCATGAGCCAGGTGCTGTCATTTTTGGGACGTGACAGGTTCAATTCCTGATGGGTTAACTCATCATCAGGTGCCTTGCCGACTGGCTTGGGCGATCATGCCTCTTCACTATCTGCAATCTCCTGCAGTATGTATCAGTCCATATGCTGACAAACCTCTATGCCATGCAACAAGACTGTCAAGAATCTTCTCTCGTTGTCTTCCTCTATCCCTCCTTCCACAGATCTTTCCGGTAGTTACATGTTCCATTTTCCCTCTTCTCAAAACATGGCCGAAAAATGATGACTGTCTCCTTCTGATATTTGTGATAAGTTGTCTTTGGGCTCCTACTTCTTTCAAAACCTCTTGGTTGCTCTTTTTTGGCTGTCCAGGGTATTTTAAGCATTCTTCTGTAAAACCACATCTGATGGGGTAACTATAGCTTTCAAAGGTTGTCACCCAGTGTGTACTCTTGTCTTTACTGACCTCCTGTAAATCTTTAAGTGCCAATCAATACATATCAGTTTTTTTTAATCATTTCCTTTGTTAGATTTTATTCCACTGCAGGTTTATTATTTCATTCTAAGGTCTGCTACTTAAAATAACAAAAGCAAAAAGGCACAAGCAAACTAACATTATTCTGTAAAGCATACAACTGTCACAATACAATATTCCAGAAAATAAATGATAAAACTACAATCAGAAAAACAAACATGCATGACTGTAGATGTTTAATTGAGTCAATGAGAGTACATTTCTCAGATAAGTGTGAGTTAACTGAAGTAGCTGTATCAACTAATGTGGAAATATTGAGCAGTACTGTAGACTTTAATTTGTCACTGAGTATAAACATCTCACATTAACTGCAGCCAACCCAGCTTTACATTCCACAGTCTGGATATTTCCAGCAGGATTGTGCATTTTTAGTTCTGTCATTGATATTACAGTAGAACCTCGCTTAATGAGCACCTCTCATAACGAGTAATTCGCATAAAGAGCAAAACAAATTGTAAAAGAATGACTTGCTTAGCGAGCAATGTTTCGCATAACGAGTGGCAAAGAGAGGGAAAGTCCCGGATTGTGCGCATATTACATCAGTCTGTGTTTAGCACTCGTTCCAGTAGTATCGTAGTGTCGCTTGTGATCACACATTTCCTCAAACTTGTGTTATATGTGCATGAACCCCCCAGGCCTACAAGATGACCTCCCTGAAGAATTAAATTCATCAAAATCCAGTTTCTGCCTCCCAACACCACTCTGTTACTTTAGCCCATGGACCAGCAATTTATTTCTAACTTTAAGAAGCTTTACACTAAAGCACTCTTCAAGCATTGTTTTCATGTGATTGAAGGGACCAGCTTCACTCTCAAAGAGTTTTGGAAAAATCACTGCCACAACGTTACCTGCCTCCAGGCAGGGGAAGGGGTTACCAAGAGAACCCTAACTTCTTTTTGGAAGAAGTTCTGGCCAGAGAGCGTTGTTGAATATGGTTTAAAGGGTTCGAGACAGTACCTGTGGAACCTGTAGTCAACGAGATTGTGTCTTTGGCCACTATCATGGGATTTAAGGTGGATAACAGTGATATCATAGAGCTTGTGGAAGAGCACAGCCAAAAGCTGACCACCCAAGAGCTTATGGAGTTGCATTGTGTTTCACAGCAAGAAGTTTTGGAGGAAAATTTGTCAAAGGAGGAGGTAACAGAAAAGCAACAATCTTCTAGTGAAATAAGAATTAATCAAGTAACAGAAAGTATTGTGAACGGCACTCATAGAAAGATGTAGAAAGATAGAAGAACATACTAGACAACATAAAAATCGAAAGCTATAGTTACCGTACCGGGAATTGAACCTGTCACCTCCAGACGGCGTCTGCGCCTCGCCATGAATACAAGTGCACTAAGATACATGGCCAACTCGGCACCCCCAAAAAAAGGTGTCTCATTGGCCATGCCTATCGTACAGCTTGAAATCCACGACTGTCGAGAACCATAATGTCCTGTCCAAGATACCGCCTGAGAGAAATTATGAAAGCATGGGAAACTGTTGCATCTTACATTGAGAAGCATTACCCTAATAAGGAAGTGGCTATGCGCGCTGCAAATTTATTTAATGATAATACTGTGCGGCATTTTCGCCAAATTTTGAAGCGTCGGCAAAATCAAATGTCTCTGGACATCTTTCTAGTAAAAAATAATTAGCTATGTATCATAATTATTTCGACTTTTTTGTTTTGTTTTCTGCAAATCGAATTCGCATTCCAGGTGGGTTCGTTCTGCGGTGGAAGAAAAGATAATGATGATTCACTCTCAACAAAATGTAAATAATTTTCTTTGAATAAACGTTATACATAACATTGTGTGAGTATGTTTTCGACATTAAATGCATTATCGTATTTTACATTAACTTATATGAGAAAAGTTATTTCGCATAACGAGTGTTTCGCTTTACGAGTATGATTCTGGAACGAATTATGCTCGTTAAGCGAGGTTCCACTGTATATTTTTCAAGCTAATTGCAATTAATCACATCAACCATAATACAACCCTTACATTTAAAGCATAGTTGTAGTTGCTTAACATTGCCACTAGATCAAAGCAATGTTCTCCCACTGTAAATATGAATGAAAAAAAGACTTCTTCTTTCACCCTCTGTAAACTCCAGGGGAAAAGTAATGGTTGTTCATCCACTTCTTGGCTGATATTTTCCAGACCTTTGTATTTTAATGCACATAAGTATTACATATCTAGCTTATTTGTGTGCAGACTGCCGGTTTCTCACCTCTCAGGCAGATGCACTCTGACTTTGGAAACACCTCTAATTTGTTGATTTTTACGACATACTTGTTAGGGGACAGTGTTTTCCTCCCTCACAGTGGGTCCCCAGACCCCACATTGGGAGAACAAAGAAGACACAAACAACAGATTAGACAATGTGAGTGTAGCTGACTTTGTACTTCAGTTGAGGGGATTCATTTATTAGCTTCATTTTTTTTCAACTATTAATGAAGTACACAAATGACAAGATAGAGTGAAATCAAAAAGTAAAAGAAAAGGACCCTTTTCCACACCTTCAGGCGTATTGGGCACATAGGGCTAGAGCTATATTTTATAGATCAATAAGAACTTGGTGGGTGATGTGGTCAGCATGAAGCCAGCTTCATTTCCCAGGACTTTAGGTGGTACCCATTTAAGGCTGGACTAATCTGGGATCCTAGGACATTTTTAAAAAATGTGTTTCTGTCAGGGGCAAAAATAAAATTTTAACTTGCACAGTCCGTGGAACACCGTTAGCCATGTGGACCTAAATCCTTCAGCTCAAAGACCTCCCTGCCTACAGCACAAAAGTGGTTAAGTAATGGCAGTTTAGAATGAGAGTACATTTCTCTTTCTAGCTGTAGCTAAACCAACTATGGACAATGTACTAATCTATACATTTTAAACACAATTACACTTAATTAATACTGTCCCTGAGAATACATTTCTCGCAGTTACTGCAATAAAGCGAAGTAACCATAACACAATATGGGCATTATCAGCATAAAAGGTGTCATTTAATATTGTCACTGGGAGTAAATTTCTCAAATCACGCTTGCAGTCAACTTTCACAAGTCATGTAGGTACATTTAATTTTGTCAACAAAGGTCTTCACCAAATCTGTAGTTTATTCAAGGTGGTAATTTAGACTGATCAAATATATTTTCATCAGAAATTCTCATTATCATCAATTTTCACTTTCGCCATTAAGCGTCACGGAGAAGAACAGTTTGAGATCCACTGCTTAATGGGTAGCAACGGCTACTGTCATTCTGTGTCGATGAAGCAGGTCTTTAATGTCATCAATCCATCTTCTCCTGCGGCGACCTCTTGCTTTCACATTAAATCATTTCACAAGTAGCATCTGTGTTGGTGGATGTTCTTGCTGCATTCTAATGAGATGATCAAACCATTTGAACTTCTGATCAGAATTACTAAACACAGATTATACAATATTTACTTCTACATCACTTTACCGAGTACTTTAAAATATATGTGTGTTTTTCTTTTTCTTCTGAGTTCATCACACCAAGTTTTACTTGGCTACCCAAACTGACATTAACAGATATAGATGAAAAAGTACTAACCGGCATTCGTAAAAGAAAAGCAGTCAGAAACAGATACCAGAAAATAAATGCTCAATGTCAAGTGTATCACCAACAGGTGTGGCACAATCACACTTTGGGACAATCACACTTTGGGACAATCACACTTTGGGACAATCACACTTTGGGACAATCACACTTTGGGACAATCACACTTCTCTCAACCCTGAAATTACTAACAGGATGTATCAGCTTGTGTGCTTCCATCATTCCATACAAAAGACTGTCAGGAATCTTCTAAAGTTCTCCTGTTATCTCTCACTCCCTAAATCCAGGAGTCCCAACATGTTCCAGTTTTTCCTATCTGACAAAATGGAGGGGAAAAAATGTATGACTGTCTTTTTCTGAGTCATCTTTGGGTCTTAACTTCTTTCATACAGTAGATTTTTATTCAACAAAAACAGTGAATGCTTCAAGAACTAAATATGTAACATTGTTGAATCTTGAAAGAAACCTCCTTCTCTGATTAAATCAAACATCAACTGAAAGGGCGGGTTCAAATCTGGGGTACCTTTAGTTTACTAATTTTTTTGTTATTTAGTATGTACGTTAATACTTACATCTTTCCTCTGCCATCTATAAGACAATTTATTTCACCTTCTTACCCTAATGGTTTCAGTGATTTCCAAATGACTGAATTACCATTGTAAAATCAGCAAAATCTAACAATACTGCTACATGATATAGTGGTGAACATGTATGCCGATTTTTCTGACGTTTTAACCATGTATATTTATTTTAATCAGACAGCAACCTCCATGTCTGATGAATAAACAGCTTATATATATTTGTCTCATGTAATCCGTGGAAAAGATGAAGTAAAATTCTGTTAATTATATTCTAGTCTCATTTTGGGTATGCTCTCCGTTGTCCAGCCTTCAGACCTGGCCCGGCACTGGATGGGTTGAGACCTTTACCCTTAGTAGTGTTCTTCAGACTTGCAGGGTTGAATAGCACAGGCATGCTGGGAGCTGCTGGAGTTGGGTCAGTCGTGTTGGTGGAGTCGGCGATTGGCTGAAATTAAACAGATAAATATAAACTGATCACTCAACAGTCTACCAGCTGACAAAGTTACACACCAATCTCATCTTCAACAACTGGGACAACAAAAATACTGCTGACTGAATAATTGTGTGTTAGAAAAGGTAAAAGCAAAACACACTCATTTTCATGCCTCCCCGTGTGGGTTCTGGGGCCCTATTATAGGGAAAACAAGAACAGAACCACTGCCTACCCAAAAGCATGTCATAAGAGTCGACTAATTGGGAGCTTCCTTCGAAGTCGGAGTGCGTCTGCCTGAGAGGCAAAGAAACCAGCAGTCTGCATACAAATGAGTCAGATCTGTAAAATGGATGCACACGCAACACTCAGGTTCTGGAACAGGTCTGCAGTCAGAAAGTGGATGAACTACCAGAACTTTCCACCAGAGTTTACAGCTGGTGAACACGAAGAAGAAGAAGAATTTTCATGCCAGTGACACATCAAACAGACACACCTTTTTTTTTTATAGCAACAAAGCAATTTTGTTTTCATGTCTACCACTAGCTTTTAAAGCAACAAAGTAGTTTTGTTTTCATGTCTATCACTAGCTTTTAAAGCAACAAAGTAGTTTTGTTTTCATGTCTATCACTAGCTTTTAAAGCAACAAGGCAGTTTTGTTTTCATGTCTATCACTAGCTTTTAAAGCAACAAAGCAATTTTGTTTTCATGTCTATCACTAGCTTTTAAAGCAACAAGGCAGTTTTGTTTTCATGTCTATCACTAGCTTTTAAAGCAACAAAGCAATTTTGTTTTCATGTCTATCACTAGCTTTTAAAGCAACAAGGCAGTTTTGTTTTCATGTCTATCACTAGCTTTTAAAGCAACAAAGCAATTTTGTTTTCATGTCTATCACTAGCTTTTAAAGCAACAAAGTAGTTTTGTTTTCATGTCTATCACTAGCTTTTAAAGCAACAAGGCAGTTTTGTTTTCATGTCTATCACTAGCTTTTAAAGCAACAAAGCAATTTTGTTTTCATGTCTATCACTAGCTTTTAAAGCAACAAAGCAATTTTGTTTTCATGTCTATCACTAGCTTTTAAAGCAACAAAGTAGTTTTGTTTTCATGTCTATCACTAGCTTTTAAAGCAACAAGGCAGTTTTGTTTTCATGTATATCACTAGCTTTTAAAGCAACAAAGCAATTTTGTTTTCATGTCTATCACTAGCTTTTAAAGCAACAAGGCAGTTTTGTTTTCATGTCTATCACTAGCTTTTAAAGCAACAAAGCAATTTTGTTTTCATGTCTATCACTAGCTTTAAAAGCAACAAGGCAGTTTTGTTTTCATGTCTATCACTAGATTTTATAAAAACAAGGCAGTTTTCTTTACTATAGAATGCTTTCATACCAACAAGGCAGTGTTGTTTCTTATCTACAGAAACATTTCACAACAAGGAAGTTTTCTTTTCTTGTCAAATAAAAGTTTTCATAGCAACAAGGCAGTTTTTTTTTTTTTTACTGATGCTTGCAACTAGCTTTTATAGCAATTAGGCAGTTTGGTTTGTTTTACACACACACATGCACGCACACACACACACACACACAAAAGCTTTTATAATAGCAATAAGGCATTTTTGTTTTTAATAACTACAACTAGCTTTTACAACAGCGAAGCAGTTTTGTTTGTCTTAGCTGCATGCATACACGCATGCACGCCTACACACACACAAGAAACCAGCATTGAATACATGTCCTTCTTTCTTTTTGTTCTTATCTTCTTCTACCTGCTATTCCTCACTGAAACACTGGCCCTCAGAGACATGTCAAGTTGTGCTAGCCTCTCCTGCAGCTCACCCAGATGTCAACACCATATAATTTCTCTCTATCTCCTTTCTCTGTGTGTTTTTAGATCCTCCTCTATCTCAACCTTTGCTTTTAAATCTTCCACCATCTCCTTCCTTCCACGTATTTTTCTATCTTCCACTATCTCTTTCCTTATTTTGTTTCTATATTTTCACTATCTCCTTCCTCAATGTGTTTTTCTATCTTCCACTTTCTCTTTCCTCAAAGTGTTTTTATATCTTCCACTTTCTCCTTCCTCAATGCATTTTTCTATCTTCCACTATCTCCTTCATAAATGTGTTTTAGGTCTCATTCTATCTCTGTTGCCCTGTAGGTTCCAGTGCAAGAATATTCTATTTGTGCGTTTATCAGATTATATGTATCAACTCTGCTTTGTGTGTTTATGCCTGATTGTGTTTTGTGTGCACATATCTACACGGATGCAGGCAAACATAATCAGTAGCACTTTTTAATATGGCTGAATTATAATGAGAAACAAATTACAATTTAATCATTCAGGTCAGTTAACTATTGTCAAGGAATGAACCGCCACTACACATAGTACGTAGACGAGTCGGGACCTGGTATTCCCCCCTGCTCGGCAAAAATTTCAAACTTGGATCCGTCCGGAAAGGTATATAGTCCCTTATATTGATCTATACCTTTATCGGATAAAATAATAATTTATAGACCTTCTAGTTGCTTTGACTTATCGTCATTTTCAAATTTGCAACTGTAGGTTGACGATTTCTAGGGTTTTATTTGAATACTCCTGGAAACCGGTTGACTCCTTGCTCATGTATGCAGGGGACTTCTTTCTACTGACGCCAAGCGTAAGTAAGAGCGGGCATTCTTCTGCCTGCATTACTAGAGATCAGATGTGTTCATCGGCGCCTCATAAATTTATACTGTGAGAAGGCGGCCTGTAGTGTCTAGGACATTTCCTAAGCTTGGGATGAAACCTCTGTAGAGAGCGGGCAGATCAATCACAGTCCTACCAACAACTGCCAACTAACCACCAGCTAACACCAGTGAATGTACCTGGCATTAACATGTCGTGCCCTATATGCCACTACTTTAACATGGCCAGAGTGTGTGTGTGAGCTCCAGGGCTAGTGAACATTTGCAGAGATTGTGTCTGAATCAAGTGTACCAGTCTTCAGGAGCTTGGTTGAGCTCCGAGGCAACTTTGTGACTTGATCTGTGGGAGAGACTTGTTGAGTCCCTATACAGTTTCTGTGTCCTCGATGGTGGGGCACTCCTCTGTAACCAGATCAACTTGAGGCAGAGCTACCAGAGTCAACTACAGTCGAATCACCATGGACTGAGGGGAGCATCAACATAGGAACTCTGATAAGTGACAGTTTTGTTTCAATATCATGCTCTATTCCCCACAGCTCCACATATTCCGGTGATGACATTGAGATACTCTTCAAGGCGATCTGGCTGTTTCAATATCTGAGTCGTGGCTGAGTCCTGATTCTATGAACATTCTGGAACATTCATTCTTCCATTTGTGTAGATAATTTGTACTGATTACATGCATTCATTTTCATGGCTGACTTAGGTGTCCCTATTTCACCTTTCTAATTGTTTAGCATTGATGTGTGTGTGAATAATAAGTGTTATATGTGTTAACATGGTTAAGATAGTAAACTATCATAACCTGGGGGCTATCTTTTTATAGTAGTGGGGGTGTCCAGCCAAGTGTGCCTAGGAATATTATATATATATATATATATATATATATATATATATATATATATATATATATATATATATATATATATATATATATATATATATATATATATATATATATATATATATATATATATATATATATATATATATATATATATATATATATATTTTGTAGTGCCAAAACTTAAGTTGCCCTGCTCCAGAAATAAGTTGAGCGTATATTGGCCACGGGGCATCCCTTAGACCAGTACGAGCCAAACGACTCAACATAATTATTTCTCAGTGCTGTTGGCTCTTAAGGAGAAATCCTTAAATCAGCCACGTGACAGGAGTGTTATGTGACAACTATCACACCTATCTACAACACAAAAACAAAGGCATGGGGGTTCAACATCCCAAAATATTTATCAATGACATTTTAGAATCACGATCAGCATGGACCTGCGACCTTTAGGTCAGCTGTGCATCCTTTACAGGACGTTTCAGAACCAACGCCAGCAGCCCCTGGCTGTTGTATGGTTTCTCTAGGCAAATTTACGTCCAGTAGTTTGCCATTGCCATTTCTGGATAGTCGGCCCCCTGATACCACAGTCGAAACCAACGCAAGGCGCATGGCCCGCAGCTGGGATAAAACCCGGCACCCCGGCATTATGAAGCGTTCGCATCAACTTAGCCACAGAGCTGACACTTGCGACCTAATAGTGTAAATAAGATCAAGATGCCAAAACATTAATGGAAGTGGGCTTTCTGATGATTAAAAGGCCCCTACTGTGCCTTGCACCTTAGAAAGTTTATAAAGTAAAGCAAGTAAAGATCCCTTCTTACGCCTTAGGCGCATCAGGTATATGGGAAGAGCACCCATATTTTTCCAGACCAATTGGCACTAGGTGGGTAATGTGGTCAGCATTACACTGGCCGTCTCTATTTCCCCAGAACATACTAGGGAATTTATACTTTTAATTTATTAGTTAAAGAAAACAGGTTTTTATCCCTTTCTGAGTTAAGATTATTGCATACAATGTTTTCAATGAATGTAGTAAGTAATAATAATGTATAAAGAAAAGAAAACCCAATGGAATTTCCCTAAATAAAGAATCCCTGCATGCATATGCAAACTATTTTTTTTAAATGTTTGCGCAAGTTTCAATACAAGCAAAAACAAATACTATAATCACTTCAATGATGAAATCAAAATGATAAACATGCAGAACTATACAAAATAAGCAATTGGAGGGGGGGGTGGGGGGGGGGGGGGGGGGGAGGAATAAACAAGCCTAATCTGGCAGTGATGTAAAAATAGGCAGAAACAAATCACAGATTTGGCTTCAGCAGCCAAGAAACCCACTGAAGGTGACACTCCATCAAGAAGGCAAAAAAAAGGTAAGTCTGCCACAGTATCATCTACAATGTTTACAATATACTAATCAGAATGCTACTGCTACCATCTGAACTGAAACGCTACCTAGGCTGCTGAAGATGGTGACGGAGCACTTATGGGAAGGTCCTGAGCACTGTGTCGCTGGTTTTTAACCTAACTCAACTCAACTCTTACAATACACTTTTCACAAACATATAAAGTGGGCTGCTTGTAAAAACCTATTAACTCTTTCAGTCTCAACGAACGCATATATTTAAAAGTTCCGACTTAGAAGCCCAGTGAACGCAAGAAACTCAGATTTTACATCTCTCTTTACCACCCCTTGGGCCTCTGATGCTAAACCCCCTGGGACTGGAAAAGTTTTTTTTTTTTTTAAAGAGGGTGGGGGGGGGGGGGGGGGGGGGGGTCAAGAGAGAATTCAATTAAAGTGTCATGGCATCTAGCATTATTTACAATACCAAAGAAATAAGTGTACATGTACCCAAAAACACCCCACAAATGTATGTAGGCATAGCACCCAAAAATGTGACTGCATGTGTCTGCAGCACCAAAATAATATGTGCAAAATTTTTTTAGAGCTGTGTACCTATTACCAAATAATTTCTCACATTCTGAAGTCATGCTGTGTGTCAGCAGGTGTGCTCTCGGCTGAGTCGGTCTTCATTCAGAATAATAAATAATAATCAACAAGTCATCTACAAACTTCAAAGTATAATTTACATCTATGGCAGTTTGCCTTCAGAAACAATATAACAAATAAACAAATATGTATATTGAGCCATATTAGATATCATCATGAATACACGGTGTACAAACAGCAGGGCTTTTCAATTAAGTTTACTCAGGGGCAAAAATGTTGAAAATGGGAAAGATTACGGGCCAAAGGCCAGAGACTCAGCGTAGAAAGGCCATTATTACAATACAGCTGGCAGTGATCCACAGGCCGCTGGCTGTGTATCCACAGGTCAGATTTGGCCCGTGGTCTAACAGTTGGATAGCCCTAGTGTACAGGCTTATTTTCTTGAAACATAAGCGTGTTGTTATATGCAAGTGAGACCTGGACAATAACAATTTAAAAAAAAATTTTTTAAAGGTGAAAAATACATTTACTCCCAGCAGAGACGGTTTTTTAAAAAAAAGAATGCAAAGAATATCACAGAATGACAGAAAAACAAACTAGGCATTCCTTCTTAAGACAGATGAAAATTGAAAACCGATTACAGTGAACTAAAAAAGATATTTGATATTTTTGTACATTTTGTGAGAAAGAATGGACTTCAGAACTGGCAAGATTGCTGGAAACACAGAAAGGGAAAGTTAAAAAAGATTAATATATAGACAGCTTAGCCACATGGATGGGACAGAAGCTGATCTGTGATTCTGGTGATCATATCTATCCCTTTCTTGCTTGTACTTGTATTCTCAATAGTCTGAAAAAATTACTATACCTTATACGTTAATTCCCATCATTAATTTATATGCCAATTGTACAACAGTCCATCATCATCATCATCATCAGGTGCCTTGCCGACTGGCGTGGGCGATCATGCCTCTCCATAATCCACAATCTCCTGCAGCATGTATCAGTTCGTGTGCCGACACACCTCCATGCCATGCAACAAGACTGTCAAGAATCTTCTCTTGTTGTCTTCCTCTATCCCTCCCACCACAGATCTTTCCAGTGGTCACAACATGATTTATTTTCCCTCTTCTTATAACATGGCTGAAAAACGATGACTGTCTCCTTCTGATGTCTGTGATAAGTTTTCTTCGGGCTCCCGCCTCTTTCAAAACCTCTTGGTTGCTCGTTTTGGCTGTCCAATGTATTCTAAGCATTCTTCTGCAAAACCACATCTCTGAGGCCTCAAGAAATTGTTTGGCCTGCCTACCGATTGTCCAGGATTCACAGTCATATGTTAAAACTGGATGTATGTAGCAAGCAAGAATTCTTTTTCTAACTCTCAATGACAATGATATATTGCATAAGATGTTTTTCATTTTATAAAATGCAGTTTTTGCCTGTCCTTTTCTGTTTCTTATCTCAGCTATGCATCTTTCATCTGATGTTATCCATGTGCCCAGATACTTAAATTTTTGTACTTGTCCTAAAATAACACCATCGACTTTTATTACATATTTTGGAATAATTCGTTTCTTTGATACCACCATTACTTCTGTCTTCCCATTATTCAAACTGAGGCCCATTCTTCCACTTTCTAACACCACAATGTCTATCATTTCCTGTAGTTCTTTCTGACTTGTTGCTATCAATGTACAACAGTCCACATACATATATTCAAATGGACCATATGACGCGGCTAACAATTAACTCTCCATCACACAACTATTGTCCTAGCTTTCTGATTTACAACACTGCTTTTAGCCTTTTAGAAATAATATTTGTTAATGGTGCATTTTTAGCATGGACGAAAGATAATACTAAAAAAAAAAAAAAAAAATTGATCATAAATATACCCAACTACTAGAAAAACAGAACAGTTGTTTTACTCAAATGTTGGTCCAGGAGTCCACTTCGGTTACTGACTTCTCTTTTGAAAAAGTTCACTGTTAATTAATTGTTATTTAGAAGGCATAATACTTTTCAACTATTTGCCTTCAGAATTATTTACCACACAATGAATAGACATTTACTAAAACTAGTAGATGCCGTATCAATAAAAGTGAACTCGTTTTTTTAAATGTGAATATTTATAAATTAGAAGTTACCACCATGGTAATCATGTGGTTGCTCTTGAATTTCGATCGGAGAGATGTGTAGCCTAACCTGACAATCATGTGATTTTGTATTTCAGGGAAAAGGATTCATTTTTGTGTGTGCTTCATTATATGTTGACTTAACTCTGTTCTAATGCATCCGATGAGATACAGCGAAGTATGCCAGGCAAAAAACTGTGCAATGTATTGTTTTGGTCCACATTATTTAAATTTACAATGGGAAAACATTGTTAGGAACACTTACCTTATCTGTAGAGGCTGGAACTGTCAGAAGACTGTTATTGACATTACTGTTGTTGATGTCTCTAGTTGCCGCAACATTAGTCTGACCTGAAAGGGTAAGGCAAGACCAGTCACAATTTGGACCGCACTATCACATCGTACTAACATTAGTCTGACCTGAAAGGGTAAGGCAAGACCAGTCACAATTTGGACCGCGCTATCACATCGTACTAACATTAGTCTGACCTGAAAGGGTAAGGCAAGACCAGTCACAATTTGGACCGCACTATCACATCGTACTAACATTAGTCTGACCTGAAAGGGTAAGGCAAGACCAGTCACAATTTGGACAGCACTATCACATCGTACTAACATTAGCCTGACCTGAAAGGGTAAGGCAAGACCAGTCACAATTTGGACCGCACTATCACATCGTACTAACATTAGTCTGACCTGAAAGGGTAAGGCAAGACCAGTCACAATTTGGACAGCACTATCACATCTTCTAACATTAGCCTGACCTGAAAGGGTAAGGCAAGACCAGTCACAATTTGGACCGCACTATCACATCGTACTAACATTAGTCTGATCTGAAAGGGTAAGGCAAGACCAGTCACAATTTGGACGGCACTATCACATCGTACTAACATTAGTCTGACCTGAAAGGGTAAGGCAAGACCAGTCACAATTTGGACAGCACTATCACATCGTACTAACATTAGCCTGACCTGAAAGGGTAAGGCAAGACCAGTCACAATTTGGACCGCACTATCACATCGTACTAACATTAGTCTGACCTGAAAGGGTAAGGCAAGACCAGTCACAATTTGGACGGCACTATCACATCGTACTAACATTAGTCTGACCTGCAAGGGTAAGGCAAGACCAGTCACAATTTGGACGGCATTATCACATCGTAACTTAATAAAGTCAGCTGTGATCACTATATAAATTGGTTGAAACTGCAGATGGCTTGCAACAGTTAAACACTCAGGTTCTGGAACAAGACTTAAAGTCCAGAAGTGGACAAACACTCAGAACTTTCACCTGGAGTTTACAGCTGGTGAACAAGAAGAAGTAAAAGAGTTGTTCTGCAAAACAGAATTTCAAATTCAACAACTGGTTCATAACAATTCTTGCCCAGGTGTTGTGATTAGCTATACAGATGGTTCTGTGTTGAGAGGCTCAAAAAATACATGGTGGTTCATTTCATAAGTGAGTGAATGGCCCTTAGTGCAATAACACTTGGCATATGATACCACAACATCTGAGTCTGAGAATGGAGGTGGAGATAGTCACTGCAGCTTTCTGCTGGTTTCAGAACCAGGTGCACACACTTTGTGATTGTAAGAGACACACAAAGTATGCTAAGAAAAGTGGAGTCAGGTATGCTCCGTGCAGAGTGGCAAGCATCACTTCAGAGGTCAAAGTCAGTTAGCACCCTTCGACTAAACTAAACAGTTCTTTAATCTGTCACTCTGCTCAAATCCTGCCTACAAGAATTCTCTGGTGAACATCAGTACAAACATAAAGATAATTAGGATATGTGACCCAGGAAATAATACAATATGACAGAATTATTAATACAGAACTTAAAGAAGGAGAGAACTAAATTTAATATACTCCAGAGAATCAACAGTTGGGGAAATGATACTTGTAGCACGGACTCAAGGGTTCCCCTCTGTTTATTTATGTCAAACCATAACACAGTTTGACATACCCTTTAAAGGGAGTACACAGCAAAAACATATGATGTAAATTACATCACTTAAAACTGTTTTATCTGCCATAACATAAGGACAGCTTCATTTTTAATTTTCAGGTTAAGAAACATGTAATGCCTTTTCAATAATGTAACCTTAGACAGCCCTGAGCATTTACCCTAAATGAATTTAGTAAGTTTGAGCACACCAAAAGAGTATTCCTAGAGCGTCACATTTTTATCTTCCAAGTCTTTTAATTTTTATACTGCTCAAAAATGTGCTGCCTTTGTAGGTTATTAACCTCGCCTTATTTATAAATCATCCGCTCTCTCAAATTTGTATTTTTGCCCTTTCATTTTGTCATTCCCTTATTTTATTAGCTTCTATGTTTTAAAAATTCCTGTTCAGTTTTCTCTGTTTAGTTTCTAGTTTCTTAATTTGCCTATTAAAATAAATAATAATTTCAAAAACCACAATCCGCTTTAAAAAAAAAAAGCTTACCAGGTAAAAAGACTTTTGGGGCAGCAGTGGGAATACTATTAGCAGGCATCACATTGAACAAGTTTTGTGGGACAGTCACAGATTTTGGGTTGGTCACATCCACGTACTGGTTCCTGGCACCTTAAATAAGAACAATAATAAATAGTTAAAAGTATATTTTCCACAAAGAAAACCTAAGTAACTTGAATGAATGAAGGAATTAAGATACTATGTGCATGGTATTTGAATTCAAACATTTACAGTGATGATAACGTCTTCTCTTTCTTCTGCGTCTATCTGAGGATGTAACTGTGTTGTGCCTTTATCCAGCAAAGTGCGATATTTGCACCTTTCGGGTGAAACATCCAACTTCTTCAAGGATATTTTTGCATGAGTTAACTTTCCTGGATCACAATAAAATCTAGTCTTGTTTTGGGAGTTGAGTCAAGAATTGACATCACAGCACTCGGAGGTGCTCCCATGCATGCTTCGTTCTCGTCTTAGGCGACCAGCGCAGTGTTTCAATACTGATGGTACCGGTCACAATCTGGTTGTATGTCTGCCTTGCCTTTCCTCTGAGTGAAGTGAGCCAGCCAGACCCTCTGGTTACACTCAGATGCCTCATTATCTCTCCAGGCCATAAAAATCTTCTTTCTCTACTGATTCCGTTGCTAATTCCCAAAGGGCCTTGACCACATCTGCAGCGTCATGTATCAATCATCACCTAGTGGTGCAGATCCAGCCAGTCTGTCTGCCTGTTCATTACTCACCACGATGGCATTGCCTGGAGAAAAGATCGAAAGTATGCTCACTTTTAAGGGAGAAAACCTAATAATAATATAATTAGAATTTTCTTTCACTGAAACTCACAGGGCAATGCAAATAGACAGAGTTCTAAAACATAGCAGGAAGAGAAATTAGAGAGATGAACTATATGGGAATGACAGAGAGGAAGCTGAAGAAGACAGCAAAGGATAGGACAGTCTGGCATAAGTTGTTTGAGGAAATTTGCTCCAAAGGCGCAAAAAGAGAAGAATAAATAACCATCTATTGGTGCTGACAAAGCAACAAGTAAACTAAATTAAAGACTTCTTATTATTTCTCTCAACTTCTTTTATTTTTGACTGCTTCAGGTGTCAACAGAGATACAGAGTTCTTGTTCTTGCTCTTTTGACAAGCTCAACCACTTTTTATCTGATCTATCTCAGGCTCTATGTCCCTCTCCTGTTTTACATTTTTTTTAAATCAAAGAAACTTGAAACAGAATGTAACACTTGCAGACGGAGCAAACAATAACAATATAATGAAAAGCACAAAACAATAACACAAGATATCACCTTTTGCTTTCAAAGAAAACCTGTTGCCACCAGGGATGCCAGTGGGAGGAGGTGGAGGAGGAGGTCCAGAAAAATTTGATGTGACCGCTGTATGTTTACCTGAAAGAATAGGATGAGTTACAATTAGTATTCATTTTCCTTCATTGATTCACATTCTGGCTGTTACCTGGTTTACTGGTACTAGACATGGCACTATACACTCGTTGCTTGAGTTGGAGACTGAGAACTAAAGGGAATGTCCTGAGTGCTACAATGTCAGTTCTAATCAGCTCAATTAAGCTCAACTCTGTAGCCTGGTAGAATACAGCAGTAAGAAATCTTGTTTTGGTTACTAGTAGAATACTACAGTCAGAAATCTAGTTTTGGTTAATCTCTAGATGTCATTCTCCCAACTGAAACATACTTTTTACTGCATATTGATTTGATCTGATTTGATTTAAGAACCGACATAACAGCACTCAGGACATTCTTATAAGAGCTCCGTCCCCATCTTCAGCAGCCAGCGAAGAGTTCCGATACTAATGGTGCCAGCAGCATTCTGATTAAACGTCCCTCTTGCCTTTCCTCTGAGCTTCGAGCATCTGCCAGAACCTCTCATCACTCCCAACTGCATCAATCTCGTCACACTGTGGTGATCAATCTGCTCCTCCGAACTGTACAAGCTCTCCCAAAAGGCACTAACCATGTCTGCCTTATCATGTATCAGTAGACTAGTAAAACCTGCCCATGTTAAGAAAAGTCTTCCACAATCAGAGCATGGGATCTCAGGACCATTGTTGTCATCATATGTATTTAGTGTGTTTCTTCTCAGACTATCGCGGCGTAAAGGTAAAGTCGGGAGATGTGAACCAGCGTCATTGCACACGGTTATAAACCATAAGTGCTCTGCCACCAGTACGGACAGCTGATGAGAATTGTCTGCCTGTGTCACCATTCGCACATAACTCTGTAGCTAAAGGGATGTTCTTTCATTTACCCCAGTGTATAACTCTGGTACCCCGGGAGCCACCCGGTTTCGAACACTGATCATGGACTGCAGTGAGTCGCAGCTGGATTTGAAAGCCAGCTTCTTATCGACTATGCTAACGCAGCCCCCGCGGCGTTGGTGGCTCAGGCGCTGCAAGTCCGACTCGTAATTCCAACGTACTGTGATGGAAACCCACTGCTGGCTGCATGAATTTTTTATCATGGTATGGGGAGACGCAGGTCGACCCAGCCTTAAATGGGTACCAGGATGGATATCCTGAGGAAGAAAAGACGGCCGGTGCAATGCTGACCGACCACATAACCCACCTAGTGCCGATTGGTCTGTAAAAATATGGGTGCTCTTCCCATATGCCCAATGCGCCTAAGACATAAAAAGGGATCTTTTACTCTTTTTTTTTCTCAGACACTCAGCTCTCATCCTTTCTGCAATCATTTCTTTCTTCGTTCTCACTGCCATCCTAATTAGTCCGTTTCATCCAGTCACAGTCCAGGGTATTTTGTTCTCACTGATAGAACTAGAAGACACAATATGAAAACACATGCTCATATTCATCCATAATACTAAGAAGAAAAGAAAGGACATACCTAGAAGATCAGTATCTTTCGGGGGAGGGGCCGCTGATGTTTCTTCTTCTTCTGTGCCATCAGCGTTGGTCCATTTTTTCTTGACTGGGTCCCACACAATCTGAAAACAAAGCCTATAACTGTGACTGATGAGTTCTAAGGACAACAATTCTAAAGGAGGGAAAAACTGTAACATCAGTAGAATGGATACAATTTAATGAATGAATTAACCCTTCTTTTTCTTTGTTTTCACCAGTTGTAAACTCTGGCGGAAAGTTCTGGTTGTTCATCCACTTTTAAACTGCATTCCTATTCCAGAACCTGAGTGTTGCATGTGCATCCATTTCACACATCTGACTCATTTGTATGCAGACTGCTGGTTCCTTGCCTCTCAGGCAGATGCACTCAGACTTTGAAGGAACCTCCGAATTAGTCGACTCTTACCACATGCTTTTGGGCAGGCAGTGGGTCCATTCCCCCCCCCCCCCCCCCCCAATAGGGCTCTGGAACCCACACAAGGAAATGAATTAATGAATCAAGAAATGACATCACTGCACTTGGAATACATTCCTATACATGTTCGCCCCCTTCCTCCGCAGCTAATGAAGAGTTCTCCTACTACTGGTCTCAGCTGCCAGTTGAGTAAAAGTTCGCCTTGGGTTTCCCCCGTGGGCAGAAAATCATTTAGACCAGGGCTATTTAACAGGCAGCCTACAGGCCAAATCTGGCCGTCAGAGGTCTAGTTAGTGCCCCGTGGATCACTGCCAGTTGTACCGTATTAGTGATCTTCTTATGTTCAGGCTCGAGCTCTGGCCCAGGATGATCCCCACTATCAAAATGGTGGATCCGGAGTTAACTTAGTTGAACAGATCTGATCTAGAGACCATTTGCTCACTCCCAGCCAAATCATTCTCCCAGGTATGGGTTGCCTGTTTGTTCTGTTGCCCTGTTTACTTTATCCCAGAGACCCTAGACATGTCTGCTTCATCATAAAGTAGCTTAATCATAAAGACAAACTTTGATTACATCAAATACACCATGATGTTGATGAGGAATATGATGATTCTGCTGATAACTTTGCCCATTTACAAAATAACATGACTGAGCATCCTCATGCTTTCAATGGTGATCATGTCCCTGAAATTAGTAATAACAATTCACAGTAGTGATGTTGAAAACTCTTGGGGATGTTTATGGTGATGTGACTGTGGTGGTCACATTATCACTGGTGATGATGGTCATCACAATAAATGATTTTGACCATAATGATGGTGTCAATAATGAAAGTGGTTATTTTACCAATGGCGATAATGTTGATTGTGTTGTTCCCATGTGGGTACCGGCGCCCCATTTTAGGGGAACAAAGAACAGACCAACCGCCCACCTAACAAAGAAAGTTAGTTGCGTATCCTTTATAGGATGTTGCAGAACCAACCCCCGCACTTTTTAGCTGTTGCGGTTTTTCCAGTCAAATTTTACGTTTCGTAGTTTGCAACCACCTAACAAGCAAGTTGTAAAACTCGACTAATGGAGTGCCTCCTTTGAAGTAGGAGTGTATCTACACAAGAGGTGAAAAACCAACAGTCTGAAAACAAATAAACCAGATTGGTAAAATGGATGTGCACGTCAACTCCAGTTCTGGAACAAGACTTAAACCCAAAAGTGAACAAACATCAGGACTTTCTACTAGAGTTTACAAGCGGTGAATGCGAAGAAGACGAACAAGACTGTGTTGACAATGATGGTGTTGATAATGAACATGGTGACTTTACCAATGGTGATGCTGATGATGATGATGATGGTTGTTTTAACAAGGAGGATAATGCTGGAGACGATGCCAACTTCCTTGTGCCAAAAATTACAAGCCTGCAAGTGATTTATGCATGACAAATGCAAAACTTGAAAAGATTAATTATTAGGAAACAAAACTTACAGCTGGGTTTTTGTCATCTGGTAAAATCATTTCATTCTTGCCTTTGACCTTGAACTTGTTTAAAAATCCTCCAAACCAGCCACTTCCAGCATTATCTTGCTGACCAGGTTTCATCATCTATACAATAATTGAAAAGATGGTTAACACTGTCTACCACCAACAGTCGAAGATCAAGTCAGTGTTCTTCTCTCAAAACCCCCCCCCCCCCCCCCCCCCCCCCCCCCCCCCCCCCCCCAATCTATACGGCTAAGTCATCCAGGTATATATCTCTTTGCCGTCCCCTGCTCTTTTCCATTAACTTTGCCGGTTACTACAAAGTCCTTGAGCCCATCCTTTCTCATAACATCTCCTAAATTTGTCTAATCGATTTGTAACTTTCATATATCCATCTGCTTATTGTCCATTCATAAAATAACACAGGTTCTATATAGCATTTTAACACTTTTCCCTACTGTAACTGATATCTTATTGTTGAATATCATTTGTAACTTGCTTTTGGCCTCTTTTGCCATGGTGATTCTTGTTTCAATTTCTGCTTGCCCTTAGACTACTGCAGCTTCCTTCCATAGACAACAGACTATCAACCAATTTACACTAATAAATCCTCCTACCCTTTGTCCCCTCTTTTAAAACAAGACGGTTTTTCAGTCTAATGCTAATTTGACTACATGACCTGGAAGTAAAGCCTGGCTAAGCACATCTATGCCATCTTTGAAGTCAACATAGCAGATATAACCAACTTCATATAGGAACAATCATTAGATCTTTAAGGTCAACTTTATATGGGAACAGTCACTAGATCTTTGAGATCAGTGCAGGAGATATTATAACCGACTTGGTATAGGAACAATCAGTAGAAGTATGTTGGTATGGTTATTGCATTTCAGGACTGAACCTGTATAGCAGGGCTATTTAACTAAGTTTTCTTAGAGACCAGAATTTTGAAAATGGGGATTGCCGCGGTCCAGAGAACTGAGCTACAGCATAGAAAGATCATTAAAACAGCACAACTGGCAATTATTCACGGGCAACTACCAAGCCTTTGTCGGACCACATTTGGCCCTCAGGCCACCAATTGCTGTATGCCAGGTGTGAAATAGTGTCAATAACATAAAATTATAAATCATTCCTTTTTTTTTATATTACATTAAATATAGACATACATATATAAGTGTTTATATAGACATACATATATGTGTTTATATAGACATACATATATAAGTGTTTATATAGACATACATATATGTGTGTCCACATAAATGCACTTAGACCAGGAGTGTATGAGGAATTTTCTGCTTAGGACATCAGAGTGACAGGTTACTGAGCTGCATGGCAGACTGCTTGGCTGCTGCCATTCCAGTGGACAATGAGCTGCTTTATAATAAGGCAATGTAGTGAGGGCCATTTGGAATCAAGCAGACAGTGTAACAAAAATAGAGCCCCATTCTCCCCTCCCCCCCCCCCTCCCCCCCACAACCCATACAGGGAATAAATATATCAAGATAGCAGATCACTCATCAAATATTCTTATTCCACATTCCGTTAATGGATCAACGAAGTGTCCCATAAACATCCAACCTTCAGTTCACACACAATACACTCTATTCAAGCTTTATTATTCTTATCATACTTTACTGATTCCTTTATCATAACATGTGTATTACAATGACTGGACTCACTTTATTGCTTCCTTTGCCCCCGTCTAATGAATACTGCTGCTGAGGTGGTGGTTTGTGTGCTGCAGCCTTGACACTGCCCGTACTGCTTTCAGATGCTGTTCTCCGCCTTCTTCTCATGCTACCAGTTGAACTGCCAGACATGTGACGATATCTGTGAGGGGGCGCTACAATCTGATCACACAAGAAAGTTGTAAAAGGTACATTTATTTTTTGATTATGCTGTCAACGGGCAAAGGAGACGACATCTTTCTAAAATCTCTGGCCTACATTACAGCATTACTAGTTATGGCACTAATATATCTCCACATTGTTAATATCACTCTATTCAGTACACTTTCTCTCCACTTTCCTCGAAAAGCACTTGAAGCAACACAATACATATTGATGCAAGTATTTAGAAATCATCCAAATACCGGTGGGATTTCCTTGTGAAATCCAACTTCAAGAGGTGGAAGCATACACCTATTTAGAGTACACAACATTATATTCCACTGTAGTTGTTGCAGTCACTCCGATCACACTTGTTCTTGTACACAGTTATAATGCCTAAATCTGTGAAGTCTTGTGTTCTTTGTGCCAGCTGATGAATTCATGGGGTTAGTATGACTTCCCCCCCACTCCGAACAATCTCAACAGGAATTCCATCTTCGCCTGGGACCTTCTGCAAAGCAAGTTCATCGACAGCATGGTTAACATCCACAATTCTTGGAAATGTGTCCAGGCAGTCAAGAGTTGGTAGAATCTTTAGGGCATTAGGAGCACCACCGGTTAGTTTGGTCTCAACTGAGTATACAGCTCCAGATAATGTTCCACTCATCTATTCAACAGCTAGGTCTTATCTGTAATAATTTCCCCATTCAGGTTCTTCAATGGTACACCCCTTTTTTATCAGTCAGGTCGATGGCCTACTTTATCCCCTCACCCATGCTCCTAACATTTCTAATTTTGCAAGCATTTTGAATGCTTTTCATAACTACCATTTGCAAATGACTTCTAGCTTCTCTCAATTCAGTAAGTGTTCCTCGTTGTTCTTTCCTTGCTTATGAGAAGTACTAACTTGTTCCTGTCAATCAAATGTTGTGTCCGACAATTTACTCCAAACCAGTATTTACTTCTATGTTCTCTAATCCCATATAGATTTTTGCAGCTGTTTTACAGACAGTGCTGTTTTATAGACAGTTTCCGTATGTGCACCTCAGATGTACAACTCTGCATTTTTATGTCGCTTAACTGCACACTCGTAAACATTCCACTGTTCTCAATTACCTCAAGGATATTGGTATAGATCTCACCTGTATTAGCCCCAAACGAATCAAATATCTCAAAGGTACTGTATGAGTTCTCACCTGTGTTCCCACATCCCCAAAGTAGTTAAAGCCGTTTGCAGCACCATCGGGCACATCTTGATCATCATCATCATCATCATCACTGCCGTTGTCGTCATCTTCATATGTGTCACTAGCACTTATGCTGGCCCTGTGAGGGGAATGCTGGTGCTGTGCTGTCTCATGATGGCCATACTCGCGTGAGTGCAGATGGAAAGCCAGCTGTGTGGCTGACGAGGAGTCTAGTTGTGAACCTGCTTAGAATACACAGAAAAGTATTTTGTGAAGCAGGATTGATCTGTTAGACCAGCGTTTCGCAAACTTTTTTTTTTTAGTCGTGGTGCCTTTTTTTCAATTAACATTTTTCCACGGCGGCCCTAACCTAAGTGAAAGTATGACTATTTGCAAGTAAAAGATAAAAAAATATCTTCAAATATTTTGTGGTGCCCCTGTGAAGAGGTCGTGGCTCCCCAGGGCGCCGCAGCACACAGTTTGGGAATCACTGTGTTACCTGTTACAGCTTTTCCTCTGAATGTTAGTGTTGGCACATCCCCAAACAGGGTCCTAAGGGCCTTTGATTAAAAGGCAGAAATAGAAAAAGAAAGAAAAAGAAGAATTAAAGACAGTAGAAATAGCAGTTTACATCATGTCCTTCCTATAATACCTACTTAGCTGAGGAATAACTTAACATTTACTTGCATTTTAGAACAATTATTGTCTCCCCCCATAAATGGAAGAATTAACAGACAAATGATCAAATTAACTAATGTTAGTAAATTCTTCTCTTTTCTTATAATCCATGCCTTGTAGTGTTGGTAGTCATGTGTATCCACAATCTTCTGTCCCGTGTGTACTTTCAATTATTGATGACACAGATGATATTCCATGCTATGACATCTCTGTCCAGCATCTTCTCTCTGATTATCTTCTCCTCCAATTTTCCCACCATTACAATCTACTCCAGTTTCTTTCTCCTCATGACATGATTAAAGAATGCAGAATGTCTCCTTCTGATGTGAGTAATCAGTTCTCTTCATTTGTAAATTAAATTATTTTACAAGAGAACATGTAAAACAACAGAAAGAATAAACTAAAAAAAAAAACAAAAAAAAACCTGTGCATATACATACCAGAGGTGATCAACAAACATTTGGTAGTCACAAAACCAAAGGGTTTTTACTCATCTAGAAGGTAATTATAAATGAAGCTAGACAGAGTTAATATCTGGCCTTCCAAAATAGATCGGGAGTGTTATTTAGCTACAGATGCTTTATCTGTTTCTGGCCATAAATGCTTCTACCCCAGGTAACCTTTACCTCATGCTTCTAACTGAAGCTGCTATTACTTTAACCATTTCATCCCAACACTTCCAGTTGGGTCCTGTTCCCCAAAAATGTCCTTTTTCCTGACGTGTCTATAGTGATCCTCTTACAAGACGTTTAGTTAATGCTAATGGCTATGATTGTGCCTCGCAACCCTTTAGGGTGTCAGGATATGAATATATTACCCAAAAATAGTGTTGCTGGCGGGGGTGGGGGGAGGGGCTTTGAGTCAAATAGCTTTTTTAAAGCCATGCTGATGTCAAAATTTCCCATAAGCCTCAGTGACAGAGGTCATGGCATGAGTAATGTTTTTCAAAGCTACAGGAATGTATTCCATTTAATGCTTCACTCTGTGTTTTGTACATTTCAAAAACCTTTTTAATGAAACAGTGTGGAGAACAAAATGGATTACTATCCCTTATGCTAAAAAAAAAAATGTATATAGCGGCTTATACAGTTACCCCGTCACTCCATTGGTCTGCTAAAGGCAAATTATGACATCAATACAGCTTCCAAAAAAGTCTTTTTTCCCAACAATCTGCAGCCATGCTATGATCACAACTCTGGTATATAATTACAGGTAAACAGGCTAACTAAATGAAAACCCACCACCAAGATGAGATATGCTATCAGTGACACTGCTGGATCCATAGCCGGCCTCTCCTGCAGCTAGGCCAGTGCCAAGATGAGTAGTCAGGGATTGTTGGGGATGTAATGATTGTGGTAGCTGGCCTGGATGTGAAGATTGTGGTAGATGGTTGGGATGTGAAGATTGTGGTAGATGGTTGGGATGTGAAGACTGTGGTAGATGGTTGGGATGTGAAGACTGTGGTAGATGGTTGGGATGTGAAGACTGTGCTTGCTGGCTGGGATGTGAAATTTGTGGCTGCTGTTGGGGCTCTGGAGGATGAGGCTGTTGATGATATTCGCCTTCTGGCTGCTGCTGTTGCTGCTGTTGGTTTCCATAATCACTGTAGTGATAGCCTATAACATCAGCATACAACACAAACAGTTGTGACCAAAATTATATGAAAATACTCATCAAACCCTTACTCAATCACAAATGAAATCTCACTCGACAAACTAAAATCTCACTTTCAAGGCAATCCCAAAATACAGACAATAGCCATTGCTACAAATTAAGCAATGGATTGCAAACTGTTCCTCCCCATGCAGCTTAACAGCATAAGTGGAGACTGATGATGACGAGGAAAAAACACACACAAAACTATCCCACTCAATAAAATACAATTTTCAGATCATTCGTCAAACATCTCACAACAAGTTATAAGATCACTGAAGGGTTTTGCTCATATATCAAGCCTTCAGTTCACTCAAGCATTCTATTTACATATCTTCTTCATCAGCTGTAAATTCCAGGGGGAAGTTCTGGTTATTCGCCCACTCCTGTACTTTGGTCTTGATCCAGTACTTGAGTTTTGCGTGCACATCCATTTTACAGATATGGTTTATCTTTATGCAGACTGTTAGTTCCTCACCTCTCAAGCAGATTCACTCTGACTTTGAAGGAGACACTACTAATTAATTGACTCCTTTGATATGCTTGTAAGGGGGGCAGTTGGTCTATTCTCGCCCATCCCCATATGAGGCCCCAAAACCCATACAGGGAATAAACATATCAAGACATCAGATCACTCATCAAAGCACAACATCAAGTTATTAGATCACTCAAGTGTTCCACTCATATATCAAGACATCAGATCACTCATCAAAGCACAACATCAAGTTATTAGATCACTCAACTGTTCCACTCATATATCAAGACATCAGATCACTCATCAAAGCACAACATCAAGTTATTAGATCACTCAACTGTTCCACTCATATATCAAGACATCAGATCACTCATCAAAGCACAACATCAAGTTATTAGATCACTCAGTTGTTCCACTCATATATCAAGACATATCACTCATCAGCAGACATCAAGTTATTAGATCACTCAATCCACTCATCAAGCACACTCATACATCAAGTTATTAGATCACTCAGTTGTTCCACTCATATATCAAGACATCAGATCACTCATCAAAGCACAACATCAAGTTATTAGATCACTCAAGTGTTCCACTCATATATCAAGACATCAGATCACTCATCAAAGCACAACATCAAGTTATTAGATCACTCAACTGTTCCACTCATATTCAAGACATCAGATCACTCATCAAGCCAACATCAAGTTATTAGATCACTCAACTGTTCCACTCATATCTCCATCAGATCACTCATCAAGCACAACATCAAGTTATTAGATCACTCATGTTCCACTCATATATCACTCATCAAAGCACAACATCAAGTTATTAGATCACTCAAGTGTTCCACTCATATATCAAGACATCAGATCACTCATCAAAGCACAACATCAAGTTTATTAGATCACTCAACTGTTCCACTCATATATCAAGACATCAGATCACTCATCAAAGCACAACATCAAGCTTTATTAGATCACTCAAGTGTTCCACTCATATATCAGACATCAATCACTCATCAAAGCACAACATCAGTTATTAGATCACTCAACTGTTTCCACTCATATATCAAGACATCAGATCACTCATCAAAGCACTACATCAAGTTATTAGATCACTCAGTGTTTCCACTCATATATCAAGACATCAGATCACTCATCAAAGCACAACATCAAGTTATTAGATCACTCAACTGTTCCACTCATATATCAAGACATCAGATCACTCATCAAAGCACTACATCAAGTTATTAGATCACTCAAGTGTTCCACTCATATATCAAGACATCAGATCACTCATCAAAGCACAACATCAAGTTATTAGATCACTCAGCTGTTCCACTCATATATCAAGACATCAGATCACTGACCAAATATTCTTATTCCACATTCCGTTAATGGATCACTGAAGTGTCCCACACAAATCCAACCTTCAGTTCACAAACAATACACTCCATTCTACATACAAGCTTTATTATTCTTATCATACACAATTTTCTACAGATAATATTTCAGACAATATTGAAGAGCACTTACCATACTGCAGCTGCTGCTGCTGCCACTGATTGTACTCATACTGCTGTTGATTGTTGTCCGCTTGCTGACCGTAGCCTACCTGCTGTCGAGGGTGCTGCGGCTGTTGGTCAGTATTTGCAATACTCAGGTTTTGAACCTGACCTGTGATGGCGCCTAAATCATGTTCCCCGGCGTAGCTTGTGGCATCATCCTGTATTTGTTGCTGCTGAAATAACAGGGGGAAAATGCTTCAGATATTTATTTCACTGAAATCGACAGGTAGGGCAGCTAGTTAAGTATATAATAAATGAACAGAAACATAAAGATTGAAAAAGGTGTCATCGTAAGCCAGGTCTATCTTACAGCTTGATCTTAGCTAGTCAAGTATCCAATATAATCTTCTTCTTCCATGACCTATTAAGTTGGATATCAAAACATTCTACAGCCTTTTGATTTGTGTGGCGCCAACTAGTTCTTATACTATATGTTTCTTAATATCATGATAACAAACCATCTAAAATCTCTCTTGCCCCATTTTTATATATAGGCTGCTTAAGAAACTGTCAACATTCTTCTGTAAAACCTAATTTCTGAGGTTGCAAGACATTGGTCAAAGGCAAATTATATGATAATAAGAAATATGATCTTTTCCTTGTTCTACATTTGCCAGCTGTGAACTCTGGCAGAAAGCTGTAGTTGTTCATCCATGACTGCACTCTGGTCTTGTTCCAGAACTTTTAAGTGTTGTGTGCATATCTGTTTTACAGTGAAGGAAACAGGAAACAAAGTGTAGAGGCTACAACAGTACTTCACAACAGTGAAGGAAACAAAGTGAAGATCCAACAGTAAGGGAAATAAAATGTAGATGCTATAACAGAATTTCAACAATGAAGGAAACAACATGTAGATGCTATAACATAATTTTCTAACAATGAAGGCAACAAAGTGTAGATGCTATCATATAACAACATCCCAACAGTGAAGGAAACAAAGTGTAGATGTTATATATCAATGTCCCAACAGTGAAGGAAACAAAGTGTAGATGTTATATAACAACATGCCAACAGTGAAGGAAACAAAGTGTAGATGTTATCATATATCAATGTCCCAACAGCGAAGGAAACAAAGTATAGATGTTATCATATAACAACATGCCAATAGTGAAAGAAACAAAGTGTAGATGTTATCATATAACAACATGCCAATAGTGAAGGAAACAAAGCATAAAGTTATCATATAACAACATGCCAATAGTGAAGAAAAAAAGTGTAGATGTTATCATACAACAATATGCCAATAGTGAAGGAAACAAAGTGTTGATGTTATCATATAACAATATGCCAATAGTGAAGGGAACAAAGTGTAGATGTTATCATATAACAACATGCCAATAGTGAAGAAAAAAAGTGTAGATGTTATCATACAACAATATGCCAATAGTGAAGGAAACAAAGTGTTGATGTTATCATTCGACAATATGCCAATAGTGAAGGGAACAAAGTGTAGATGTTATCATATAACAATATGCCAATAGTGAAGGGAACAAAGTGTAGATGTTATCATATAACAATATGCCAATAGTGAAGGGAACAAAGTGTAGATGTTATCATATAACAATATGCCAATAGTGAAGGAAACAAAGTGTAGATGTTATCATATTTCAATGACCCAACAGTGAAGGAAACAAAGTGTAGATGTTATCATATAACAACATGCCAACAGTGAAGGAAACAACGTGTAGATGTTATCATATATCAATGTCCCAACAGTGAAGGAAACAAAGTGTAGATGTTATCATATAACAACATGCCAACAGTGAAGGAAACAACGTGTAGATGTTATCATATATCAATGTCCCAACAGTGAAGGAAACAAAGTGTAGATGTTATCATATAACAACATGCCAACAGTGAAGGAAACAACGTGTAGATGTGATCATATATCAATGTCCCAATAGTGAAGGGAACAAAGTGTAGATGTTATCATATAACAATATGCCAATAGTGAAGGAAACAAAGTGTAGATGTTATCATATAACAATATGCCAATAGTGAAGGAAACAAAGTGTAGATGTGATTAAATATCAATGTCCCAAGAGTGAAGGAAACAACATGTCAATACTATAATAGAAATATCAATCATATGGCCGATCAATGGGAGAGGGTGGGTGGATTGGGTGTAAAGTAACAACAAATGCATACTCAAGTTCAAACTTACCTTAAAATATGGTAGAGCAAGAATGGCAGTCAACTTACTTGATTTCTATACGTATCTACGCCTGATGAACCAGGTGCGCTGGTCAAGGCTGTTGTCTCACCAACATAACCGTAGCCATATGAGCTGTAGTCCCCACTCTCACTGCTGGTCGTAGTCCCTGGAAACAATGCTGGGGTTACTGATCCAGAAAATGACTGGACCGAACCATCCTAATGAGACAGAAACATAGGCGGAAAAATGATTACATATAAACACCTAAACATTTTGAAGTTAATGCATAAGTTAATGTATACGCATACAGGCTGGGGGAGAATAAAGGAGATACAACACCATTCAAAGTGGAAAGATCATAGTAACATAGCATAAAATGTACGCCTACACATCAGAGTAGAAGAGGAAAGATTAAATTAAGCCCTTAAATACTCGGAATCATAATGGTGATGTCATTAGCAACAGAAGATATTAAATATGTAACCATGATATAAAAAGTGTAACCATGATATAAAAAGTGTAACTATGATATAAAAAGTGTAACTATGATACAAAGAGTATAGCTATGATACAAAGAGTGTAATTTCGATACGAAAAATGTAACTATGATACCAAAAAGTGTAATTATGATATAAACAGTGTAACTAAGATTCAAATATGTAAATATGATACAGAGCGTGTAACTATGAAACAAAGAGTGTAACGATGATATAAAGAGAGTAACTATGATACAAAGATTCTAACAAAGATACAAAGCGTATAACTATGGAACAAAGAGTGTGACTACCATACAAAGAGCGTGATTATGACACAAAGAATATAAGTATGACACAAAGAATATAAGCATGACACAAAGAATATAAGTATGACACAAAGAATATAAGTATGACACAAAGAATATAAGTATGACACAAAGAATATAAGTATGACACAAAGAATATAAGTATGACACAAAGAATATAAGTATGACACAAAGAATATATGTATGACACAAAGAATATATGTATGACACAAAGAATATAAGTATGACACAAAGAATATAAGTATGACACAAAGAATATAAGTATGACACAAAGAATATAAGTATGACACAAAGAATATAAGTATGACACAAAGAATATAAGTATGACACAAAGAATATAAGTATGACACAAAGAATATATGTATGACACAAAGAATATAAGTATGACACAAAGAATATAAGTATGACACAAAGAATATAAGTATGACACAAAGAATATAAGTATGACACAAAGAATATAAGTATGACACAAAGAATATAAGTATGACACAAAGAATATAAGTATGACACAAAGAATATATGTATGACACAAAGAATATAAGTATGACACAAAGAATATATGTATGACACAAAGAATATAAGTATGACACAAAGAATACAATCATGATATCAGAATAAAACTATGAAGCAAACTGTTAACTAGGATACAAAGTATATAGCTATGATACAAAGAATATAAGTATCATACAAATAACAAAACTATGCTAGTAAGATATAACTATTATACAAAGAATAAAACCTGTCTTAGAAACATTCATGATAAAAGGTCAACTTACATCATAAGAAGAACACATCTTCTCCAGCTGCTGCAACCATGCAGGTTCTTGTGCATCATCATTGGCAATCTGACGCTGAGGATCAGAGAACTGAAGCTTGCTGGACAGCTGTAGATGGCAAACAGAACAGCACATTAATATGTCTTCTCTTTTACTGTTTACACCCAACAGAACATAGGTCCTCAATCAACTGATACCAAGACACCATTTTTGCCATCATATGGAACACAACCTACCATCTTCACATCAGTTGAGTTGAGCTGAGTTGAGAATTGACATTACAGCACTCGGAGAGTTCTCATGCATGCTCCTTCCTCATTTTCAGCAGCCAGCGCAGAGTTCCAATACTGATGGTACCGGTCATAATCTGGTTATATATCTGTACTGCCTTTCCTCTCGCCCTTTCCTCAGACCCTCTGGTCACACTCAGGTGCCATCTTCACATCAGTATCTGCCCAATCAACCTCTTCCCAAAAAAGAAACAGACCACTTAGATTGTCAACTGGACATAACAGAAACCACAGCCATATGTACAGGAAATTCAAGATGGAGACTCATTTTACACGTGTGGACAGGATGTGAACATCAGAATACTGAACATGTGCTGCAAAGATGCTCTTCATATGCAGTAGAAAGATCCCAAGTCTGGCTACTTGACATTCCAGTGAAAACCAAGTGTGGAGGACATGTATCTCACCACAGTCTTTATACAGGCCTGCTGCCTTCTTATTTGAAAACCACTGTCGTGGAGAAAGAAAAGAAGAAGGCATCAGTATCTCATCCTCATCAATGTGTGTTGTGTTTTGGTCTTTCTTTCCCATTTTTTTTTTTGGGGGGGCCATGTTGATTCCAATGTAAGAATATTCTGGTAATATTATCAGGTTCTCTCAATGTTTGGAATATCCATTGACAACATTACTTCCTTGTCATTCATGGCTTGCTTCACTGTGACTCAGTAATCAACAAAGTTAATTGCTTCTGGACAGACACACACTGAGAAAACCAGTTAAAATAACCACACATATGTTCAACTGGAATCAACATGGTGACTGATTAAGAGACTTCATCGTTATATGAAGATTATTATTAACAGAATTTCATGGTTTCAGAGGTCCCTGGTAGTTAGCGCATTATGGATTCATTCTCCAGGAAATGTAGTTATGTTGGGAAAGGAAAAGATAGACAGACTGATTGGTGCTACTTCACCTGGGTGGTGAACTGACACATGACAAGCTAGATGTGGTCCAGCAAGTGAAGAATGTGGAAGAGTGAGCAGATCATTTCAGGGTGGAGAGAAAACGATGCAGTGGAAAGTGACCAGGGGATTTGGCTGACACTTAACACTCAGAGAAAAGACAATACTGTTATTCAGACTGCTACAAGTACCAACAGAGTTTGAACTTTTTGCTCTCTCCTGAAGATTGGATGGAACACTCATGGGAATGTTCCTAGCGAGACTGGATGGAACACTTATGGGAATGTTCTGAGCAAGACTGGATGGAACACTTATGGGAATGTTCCTAGCGAGACTGGATGGAACACTTATGGGAATGTTCCTAGTGAGACAGGATAGAACACTTATTGGAATGTTCCTAGTGAGACTGGATGGAACACTTATTGGAATGTTCCTAGTGAGACAGGATGGAACACTTATGGGAATGTTCCTAGTGATATTGGATGGAACACTTATGGGAATGTTCCTAGTGAGATTGGATGGAACACTTATGGGAATGTTCCGAGCAAGACTGGATGAAACACTTATGGGAATGTTCTTAGTGAGACTGGATGGAACACTTATGGGAATGTTCCTAGTGAGACTGGATGGAACACTTATGGGAATGTTCCTAGTGAGATTGGATGATACACTTATGGGAATGTTCCGAGCAAGACTGGATGAAACACTTATGGGAATGTTCCTAGTGAGACAGGATAGAACACTTATTGGAATGTTCCTAGTGAGACTGGATGGAACACTTATTGGAATGTTCCTAGTGAGACAGGATGGAACACTTATGGGAATGTTCCTAGTGATATTGGATGGAACACTTATGGGAATGTTCCTAGTGAGATTGGATGGAACACTTATGGGAATGTTCCGAGCAAGACTGGATGAAACACTTATGGGAATGTTCTTAGTGAGACTGGATGGAACACTTATGGGAATGTTCCTAGTGAGACTGGATGGAACACTTATGGGAATGTTCCTAGTGAGATTGGATGATACACTTATGGGAATGTTCCGAGCAAGACTGGATGAAACACTTATGGGAATGTTCCTAGTGAGACTGGATGGAACACTTATGGGAATGTTCCTAGTGAGACTGGATGGAACACTTATGGGAATGTTCCTAGCGAGACTGGATGGAACACTTATGGGAATGTTCCTAGTGATATTGGATGGAACACTTACGGGAATGTTCTGAGCAAGACTGGATGAAACACTTGTAAGAATGTTCCTAGTGTGACTGGATGGAGCAGTCATGGGAATGCTCCTAGTGAGACTGGATGAAACACTTATGGGAATGTTCCGAATGAGACTGGATAGAAGACTTACAGAAATGTTCTGAGTGAGACTTGATGGAGCACTTATGGAAATGTTCTGAGCCAGATTGGATGGAACACTTAAAAGAATTTCCCTAATGAGACTGAATGGAACACTTATGGGAATGTTTTGATCGACATTAGATGAAACACTTATGGGAATGTTTTGATCGACATTAGATGAAACACTTATGGGAATGTTCCTAGTGAGACTTGATGGAACACTTATGGGAATGTTCCTAGTGAGACTTGATGGAACATGGGAATGTTCTGAGCGCTGTGATGTTAGTTCTTAACTAAACTTACCTCAAGACAGAAGAGAAAGAATATGAGAAAGATTTGGCAGGAACAGCCAAAATTTAATGGATTAACATGAAATGACCTGAAATGGTGCAGCTAAAGAGAAGAAATTAAAAAAAAAATTACTAAATTACCGGAGCAAAATATTGACTAAATGGCAAAGTGCATACATCAGTTGTTAAAGCAAAGCAAGTCTTATTCCCAATGTTTCTGTATGCATTCTTGTTATGTCCAGTGTATTTGTGACAAATCCTGCTACCAACTTCTGTATTCTGATGTTTGTTATCCCAGTAAAGGTTCCAGGGCCCCCATTTTTGGGGTACCACTGCCAACTAACAAGCATGTCATCAAAGGTGACTAATTAGGGGTGTTTCCTCCAGAATCAGAGTGCATCTGCCAGAGAGGCAAGGAACCAACATAGGAAAAAAACGCATGAGCATGTAAAACTCAGGTTCTGAAACAAGACCTAAGTCCAGAAGTGGACGACAACCAGAACTTTATACCCAAGTTTACAGCTGGTGATTGCTAAGAAGTAGATGAAGAAAATGAAGAAGATTGTGTGCTAAATAAAGCTTCATCCTTGTCACCAGACATGAATATGTCCCTGTGGATTCCTATGAAAGATTTTTCAATGCCTGTGGCTACATGCAGCAATCAGACTAACTGTGTCTATATACTATTGAATGACTTTACTATACCTGCTGAACAAGCCTGACAAATGGAGAGTGGAACAATGATGGGTACTGCTGTATGTTGCTGGCAATCATCTCACAGTACTGCAGGGCCTATTGAGAAAACAAATATTTTTTCATTACATGAACACAAAAAATAAGAGTTATGTTTCCTGTGTGGGTTCCAGGGTCCTATTTTGGGGGAAAAGCATAGACCCACTGCCCTCTATCAAGCTAACTGTAATAGGCAACTAATCCAGGCTGTTTCATTCAAAGTCAGAGTGAATCTTCCTGAGAGGAAGAATCAACACTCTGCATACAAGTCCGACAGATCCGTAATACAGATGTGCATATTTACAACGATATGGTCCAGAAGTGGACGAACAACCAGACCCTTCCGCTGGAGTTGATAGCCGGTGAAGGCTAAGATGAAGAAGAGTTATGTCTTAAAATAATAGATAAAATTCATTAGGGAAACAACTGTATCTAAAAAAACAAGTTTAGTTCATGAAGGACAAATGCATCAATCCACACAAAAATTTTTTAAATGCCCACTCACCTCCAAGGACATCCCATAGTCAGCCAGTCGACAGGCATACAGGTATTTGAAGACCTGAGGAAGATTGGTATTTTGTTAGACTTGCCATCATACTGATAAAATCTTTGCTTGACCAGGGCACAGTGATTCTGATCACAGGCGTGAGGGGAAGTTAGCTTTATGGCGTATAGGGGAATACCTCTATGTCCCCTGGGGCACCAGATTTCTGTGCTGGTTTTGTTGACCTTTAAGCAAGACTCCTGCCACACGTCCATGTCATGCAACTCAGATAATGGCATATGTCGGTCTACTACACCAACTGTCCCCAAGAAACATGTTATAAAAGGTGACTAATTAAGAGATTTGCTTAAATATGACGTGGTGGGCCAAAAAGTGATGATATCGCAGCCTTGCTGTAAACCACAAGTCCATGTGTCAACCACACCTTTACCGCAGAAGCTCTAACAAATGTTAGGCCTCCAATTCTGTCACCTCACTACATCATACTTAATAATAATGAAACTGCTGACTGATAACTAGTAACTTATAAATGATGCCAAAACTGACTGAACAAATTACTACTGACTGATGTTTAACTAATGAATGACTGACAACAGACAGCCAAATGACCAAGTGAGGACTGACAAACATAATCGACTTACTTGGAAGTGAGGGAGACAAAATGCTGGGTTTGCTAAAGTCTGTGCATACTCATAGACTTCTGTACACTGTATGGCTTCATTTGTAGAGAACTCTTCCAACGATAAACTGTTTAAACAGTTTTTAAAAAAAAAAGTAGTGATATGTCTTGTAATAAGAATACTAAATAAAACTTGTACTGGCCATATCAGTCATGACAAAAAAAAAATGTCCACATCATTCAAAAATGTGAGAAATAACTGAATCTTAATTTTCTTCTTGCATTCTTTCTCATGTGTCTAGCTATCTTGTGGGTTCATAGGGTCTCATATGGAGGGTTGGGTCAGAACAGACCCACTGCCACCATAAAGAACATGCCGTAAAAGGCAACTGATTAGGGATTTTATTAACTCTTTGAGTCCCAGGGGGTTTAGCATCACAGGCTCAGGGGGTAGTAAAGAAAGTAATAAAATCGGCGCATCATGCGTTCATTGGGCTTCTAGGTAGGAACCTATAAAAGTATGATGAGTTCCTTGGGACTCAAAGAGTTAAAGAAAAAAAAGATATAATATGTACAAACAAAGAACTTTACACATCCAAATATAAATAATCTAAAAAAAAAAAAATTTTTTTTTTAAAGAGGAGAAAACATCACTCATGGGGCGGGGCACCCACAAAACAAAAAAACCGAGTACATACTTGTGATTAGAGCCAATGAGAACAATCTTGGATGTCTTCTTGTTGTAACTGCCAAAGTTGACCTGGGCCATCAGGTAGCAGAAGTGGCTGGCATGAAGACAGCCTCGAGCAGCTGCAAGAGGAAACAGAGAAAAAAGTCACACAACAAATCATCATTATAAGCACAGTTCAGAAGCTACTAAAGCTCCCACTTCTTCTTCTCCCTCAGGATCATCAAGATGAAAAGAAACGGTGTGTGCTCCAGCATCAGAAACTATATTATTTCACTATGTTCGATGACAACCTCTTGCTCTGTATCTGCTGTGTCTAAATGCTACATCCCTGTTGGGCAATGTCTTGTGATTATTATGTTGCATGACCTTCTTCTTCTTCTTAGAATTCATCACAAACTCTAGCAGAAAGTTCTGGTTGTTTAACCACTTCTGGAATCTGATCTTTTTCCAGGACTTCAGTTTTGCATGCACATACGCTTTGCATATCTGGCTTATTTGTATGCAGACTATAGGTTGCTTGCCTCGCGGGCAGATGCACTCCACCTCTGAAGTAAACACCCCTATCAGTTGCCTTTTATGACATGCTTGTTTGGGGGCACAACGACTGGTTGCTTGCCTCACAGGCAGATGCACTCCACCTCTGAAGTAAACACCCCTATCAGTTGCCTTTTATGACATGCTTGTTTGGGGGCACAACTACCAGTTGCTTGCCTCGCAGGCAGATGCACTCCACCTCTGAAATAAACACCCCTATCAGTTGCCTTTTATGACATGCTTGTTTGGGGGCAGTGGGTCTATTCCCCCTTCCCCAAATAGGGTCTGGGATTCCACACTGGGCACTGCATGACCAAACCATCTTGTCTGCTGCCATTCAGTATAGTCTAAGACTGGTGCTGTTCCTACTTGCGTCCTAATATCATTTCTAATCTTGTCACGTCTCATGCAACAGATTACCTGAGAAATCTTGTATAGTGTTAGCTAATGAAATTTTCAGATTACAATTTTCTGGTTTTTTTAATTGTTTTTTTGCTGCTGTATACAGAAGACTGTAGCCACTACACTTGATAATGCATTGTATGCAAATGACCCCTTTTCCATGTCATCACAACACAATAGTAATATTCTGCAGAGCTTACATTTTCTAGACTAAACATCATCTGTGGCTGGCATCATGCCGACAACCTCGGCTTCCAGACAATTTTCAGGTGACAGTGTGATACTTGATTGTTGTGAGCCCTTCTCACAAATCTTCATTTTATCTTCCACCCGACTGTGTGTATCGAGTACAAGGACAATGCTGCCACCAAAGTGCAGATCATCAAGCTGTTCTTACAGTACACTGAATGTCATTTCCTGTAGCTATTGTTAGTCAGCAGAAATAATAAAAAAGACAAAGAGCTTAGCTTGGCTTGCTTTGTGAAAATTTGCCATGTTCAACCAGCATTCCCAAAGGGGGAGCTTTAGGTTATAACTGTGACTGGGTTTATGTGTGCACTATAAAATGGCTCAGCACTGCTTGCCACCAAGTAGCCCTGAAAAGAACTCTTGTGTTGAATGCGATCAAAAGAGAGAGACGAAATACTGTCCCGACCAACAACAAAGTCGCCTACCGTCCAGTCAATGGGTGACCGGTCAACGATGATGAAAACAAACAGCAGCCCTGCCATTAGTTTTCCTCATGAAACTGATACAGTTAATTAGAAGACAAAATTAATGACTTAATATTTTAGCTCTTTTAATCCGCAAAGTGAAGCAGAAAAATAATTTTGGTCACAAACTGCTTGTCCTGCTGTACTCATTTTGTCAGTTTCTCCGTACATTTAATCACTGAATGTATTATTTTTATATCATAATTTGTTTTGTTATCCTTCCCCACAATTTGGTATACAGCAAGATGCATTTCCTTAGTTCTGAAAAATTATTCTTTTAATCTCAGTAAGTACAGTCTACTTCCTAATTTTCAGAACATCCAGCTTAAGAATGGAGGTGGAGGCGGTCACTGCAGCTTTCTGCTGGCTAGAGACCACAACACACACACACACATCGTGATTGTAACTGATTCAGAAAGTATGCTGAGGCTGAGGAAGATCAGAACCGGTATGCTTCGTGCAGAGTGGCATGCTTCGCTGTGGAGGACACGGGTGAGGAGTATTGTCTAGATTTTTTCACTTGGTCACGCCAGTGTGTTGGGAAATGAACAGGCAGACAGACTGGCTGGCTCTGCACAACTTGGTGGAATACTGATACATGATAAGGCAGAGGTGGTTAGTGCCTTGTGGAAGAGTGTGTACAGTTTGGAGGAGCAGATGGATCACCACAGTCTGGTGAAATTGATGCAGCGGGGAGTGACGAGAGGTTCTGGCAGATGCTCGCGGCTCAGAGGAAAAGCAAGATGGACGTTTAATCAGAATGCTACTGGCACCATTAGTATTGGAACTCTTCGCTGGCTGCTGAAGATGGGAATGCCCCGATTTCCCTGAATGGACAGCCTTAGCATAATCAACATCATCATCATGTCCTGTTGTGCCTCACATAACCCACAGGGCAGGCAGTCTATGTCTCCAATCAGTTCTATCCTGCGCAATCCCTATGATAGGCTTATTCTCCCACTTTGATCCCAGGGTTTCTTCTGGAACTTCTTTTGGTGATTATCTCCCACTTTGATCCTTGTTTGGTGATTATCTGCTTGTTTCTTCTCAAGATCTGTCCAACATAGTGTCACCTTCCAATACAATACTGAAATAATAAAACATATGACAATACCTAGTGTATCTCCCAGGGTGGTTATACTCTTGCGATCCAGGTCCTGCTTGGAGGTGTGGTTGGAGAGGATCATTGCTAAGTGAGGCCTCCAGTCTCCCCATCGCTCATCCACAACACACTAGATGTTATGGGGGAAAAAAAAGAAGAAAAAACAATCAGCATACATTATCAATTCCAAGTGAAACATTGCATAATTCTGACTGCTGTTTTATCACAACAAACTGGTACAGATAAAATGGTTTTGTGTTTTTGTTGTGTATTCCACCTATTATCCTGGTCTACTTTCTTGACTGATTTTATGTTTCATCAGACTTTCTATACATCAACCTTGGTGCAACTCTCGTACCAATGTCCAAAAACCATGAGAGTGAATACTGATATTAAACCGTCAGCAGCAGAATTCAACACTAGTACTTGAGGATCATGAAATGTTAAACACAATCACTAACCTCTAAGCCACAGAGCTTCATAGTACATTATGATTTGACAAAATCGGCTTGGCAAAATGTTCCCTTTGTAGGGTTAAAAAACACTACCCAATGACAAGGTGTCAATAACAGCGGGGAAATAACATGTAACTCCTACACAGAACCTTTAATGTTGCATGCATGCGAAATATAGACAATAAGCAGCTTAGCTTAAAAAGAAAAAAACATCTAATGGCAATGGAAATATGGCTTCTGAGCAAACATGGACAGACAGAAACAGATGAGAACCATCAAATCATTAAAGAAATCAGATACAGACAGCCTAGATTGTTCAGGTATGTTATAAGAAGAAACGAACTTGCACACTTAGTGACAACTGGCAAATATGTTGGGAAAAGAGCAATTGGAGGACACAGTTGAACACATGGAGGGTTTAAAGTTACAGGCGAGAGGATCGACTTTACTGCACCAGGTGTGTATCCTATATGGCTCAATCTCTCTCCGCAGAATGGCTGGCTGCCCACCGAGAGCAAAGTACAAAGCATGAACACCTTGGATTCGGCAACGATCTCTAAGGGTATGCCAAACAACTGCACTTGTAAACCAAATGCCAAAGAAGTTAAATAGACACATGACCCTCACAGTATGAGGCAAACTTCATATGGCATAATCAGGGCAAAAATTACTAAACTCGTGTGAAACTGGTGACTACGAGAGATCTACCACAACAAATGACAACAAAGGATAGTTGGTGTGAGATTGACTACCATCACCCCCCCCCCTTTTTTTTTCTGCTTAGCCCCCCCCCCCCCCCCCCCCCCCCCCTTCTGCATAGCGTTCACCGGCTGTACACTCTGGTGGAAAGTTCTAGATGGTTGCCCACTCCTGGACTCTGGTTTTGTTCCAGAACTTGTGTTCTGTGTGCGCATATGTTTACAGATTTGGCATACTTTTATGCACACTGTTGATTCCCTGTCCCTCAGGCAGATGCACCTCAACTTCAAAGGAAACATCCTTTATTAGCCACCCTATATGACATGACTGTTGGGGGGAGGGGAGCCGTGGGTCCATTCTTTTTTATTTCAAAATGCGGCTGTGGAACCCACTTATGGGATATAATAATTAAATAAACAAACAAATATCTGTCCTACTCACAGTGACAGCTGCTGGCTGCCGACCTGACATCAGCTGGTACAGGGTCTGAAGTGGATCATTCATCCTGATCGCACCATTGGCAAATCTGTGAACAGATCACATCAAACAATTTGAAGAGGAAACAATGCAACAATATAATCAGCTACATGCAAATCACTTGGGAAGCAAAATACATACAAACAATTGGAGAAACAAATTACATCATTTCATTCTTCTTCGTTTTCTTGATTTGATATATGACAAGTTAGACATTGTGAGGGCCCTTTGTGAGAGCGAGTAAACAGTGTGGAGGCGCAGACAGATCATTAAGGTCTACGGAGAATGGCGCTGCAAGAAGTTACCAGGGGATCTGTCCGACGCTCAACACACAGGGTAAGGATGAGACTGATATACAATTATTCTGTTACTGGTACCATCAGAATTAGAACTCTTCGCTTGCTGTTGAAGATGGGGACTGAGCACTTATGGGAGTGTCCCCAGTGCTGTGATGTCGATTCTTAATTCAACATTCTTCGTTTTCTTCTTCTTAGCATTCACCGACTGTAACTCCGACAGAAAGTCCTAGCTGCTCATTCACTTCTGGACTTGAAGTCTTGTTTCAGAACTTGAGTTTTGCGTGCACACCCATTTTACAGATCTGGCTTATCCGTATGCAGACTGCTGTTTCCTCACCTCTCAGGCAGACGCACTCCAACTTCAAAGGAAAACACCTAATCCCCCCCTAATCAGTTGACTCATATGTCATGATTGTTACAGGGCAGTGGGTCTATTTTTTTTTTTTTTTTTCACTCTACAAAGGGACCCTGGAACCCACACAGGGGAACATCATCATTCATTTTAAGCCTTTATTCACTTTTTACCTTCATTATCTAACCTAAAGTGCAGTTTTCTTACAGATTATGTGAGTCTCCTTTATAATACCTGGATCAACAAGACCGGGCAGAGGCTGGCCAAAAAGTTAAGACAGCTGAGCTCTCATTCAGGAGACCCAGGCTGAAATCCTCAGTAAGGTTGTGAGTTTTTCTGTCGGGGGCTAAAACAAACTCCTAGCTTGCACAACTTGTGGCAAAACTGCACCAGCAGCCACGCAGCCCCTAATTCCTCAGGCTCTTCCTACACCGCAACAATGGTAGTAAGCGTAAGGAGTAAAAGAAATTTATCAACACACCTGGTCATGACATTAGCATGTGTCCATGTGTCCATTTTGTTGCCCAGAAACAAAGCATGAACCCACAAGTTGTGCTTCATGGCACATTCTAGGGCCTCCTGAAAGACACGGCTTTCTGAAACACACGGTTGTGAGTTTTTCTGTCAGGGGCTAAAATAAAATTCTGGCTTGCACAACTTGTGACAAAGCTGCACCAGCAGCCATGCAGCCCCTAATTTCTCAGGCTTTTCCTACACCGCAATACTGGCAGTAAACGAAGGCAGTAAAAGTAATTTATCAACATACCTGGTCATGACATTAGCATGTGTCCGTGTGTCCATCTTGCTGGCCAGAAACAAAGCATGACCCCACAAGTTGTGCTTCATGGCACATTCTAGGGCTTCCTGAAACACACAGAAAACAGGTAATGGGGTACAGGAAAATAGAAACAAATTTAAACAAGTGTTGAAGCTAAAGGTAGTCCTGTCACAATGACTGCCCATGGGATGTGAACTGTTAGGTAACATATCCCAGGCCATTGGTTACCAACCAACAGTTTGTGATCCCAAATGGAGTCTATATAATTAATTAATCATTATTTTGTGCAAAGGTTGTTTTTTTAAATATTTTATATGAAGGGAAGTAATCACTAAATACAAATGGAACAAAGAATTTAACTGCTTGCCTTCCATTTGACCAAGAAAATGGCCGCAAAGTGACATTATCATTAGTTTATTATGTGGCAATGACAAAAAAATAAGATATTTTCAAGACATTAACTACACCAACTGGAAACCACCACAACAGTTTTAAAAAAAAATTAAGCTTAACAAATTATATAATGGACTAAATTAAAAATACAAAATTTAAAAACTTTTGATGTTTTTTTTTCTGAAAGAATTTGGTGCTGTTCCCACCATTCCCAGATACATTTCGGCAGCCCTGGTTGCAACCAGTACCAAAGCTGGTATATTTGGCCACCGCCCAAAGACTTCATTATCATCAAAAACCAATCATAGAAAACCAGCTTTCTAAGGGCAACAGGGTTAAGCTTTATGGAGGAATCAAAGCCTCATATGCTTCTTGCGGGAAATGAGCCCCGAACTATTTTGAGTGGTTGCAATTTACCACACAAAAAAGTAAAACAACACAATATAAATCTTACCTTTTTACGACCATACAGAAGCAGATTTCTGAATCTATCAATCCACTTCTCCCTTTCCCTGTCTGCACTGTTGATAACTGTCCTGTCTGAGGTCACACGGACAGCAGGAGAATTTCTGGCACTGTTGCTGCCCTCACTGTTGCCCTCCAGAACCGTGTCAAGGACTTCTGGACTCTGGGATATCCGTACACCATGTACACTGTACTCATGTGTTGACGGTTCGTGACCCTCCAGAAGCAGATCAGAAAGGTCTGTACCTACAACAGCCTGGAAATAGATCAAAAGTCACTAGTTAAATGGAGGTGTTTTGTTAGATATGAAGAGAAAACAACACAAATAATACATCTAGGATTGTTCTATTCTCTGATTATTTAACTAAACATAAAAGTACACATAATAATCCAGAAGAATCCAGGTCTTGGTCAGATATGACTGAGCTAGCATAAAACAGTAGTCGCCACAGCTGTTCTCTATTAAGGCCAAATGTTGAACAAAACCTGACATTCCACTTGTGCTAAAAGCTTCAGGCGGAAGAGTGCATTACAGGGGAAACTAGACTTAGGTTGCTGTTTGCCCATCTCTTGATGTTATAATCCCACTTGTTTCACTGCCTGTCTCAACTTTCCTATCAGCATGGTTTTTATAACAGTGTTATAATCAATACATTGTAATTAATAACGAATTAGACTGGTTGCACTATGGAATCCCACAGAAAATTATCAACTTAGTAAAGGCAACATATAAAGACATGAAATGTCAAGTTCTTCATGAGGGAAAGCTAACAGATGCATTTGAAATAAAAACAGGTGTGCGACAGGGATAGACTGGACTATGAAAACAGTAACTGCTAACACCAAGAATGGAATTCAGTGGACCCCTACAAAACAGCTTGATGATCTGGACTTCGCTGATGATATTGCTCTTCTGTCCCATTCACGGAATCAGATGCAAGATAAATTAAATATACTTAATGCGAAATCACAGCAGCTTGGTCTGAAAATCCATAAAGGAAAGACAAAGATAATGAGAATAAATCAGGCAAATTGTAATGTGGTTTCTCTTAATGGCACCCCACTCCAAGACGTGGAGTCGTACACCTATTTAGGCAGTAATGTAGATAAAGATGGAGGAACTGATAGAGATATTAAAATAAGAATACAAAAGGCAAGAGGGGCTTTCATAGCACTAGGGAATTTGTGGAGGTCAAAAGAAATTAAAATAAATGCTAAACTAAAAATTTTTAATTCTAATGTCAAATCAGTACTATTGTATGGGGCAGAAACATGGAGAACAACGAAGGCAATTACCAATAAATTGCAGACATTCATTAACTGGTGCCTGCGCAGAATAGAGGGAATAAAATGGTATGACAGAATAACTAATGTAGAACTTTGGGAGAGAACTAAACAGGCTCCAGTGGATCAGGAGGTGAGGAAAAGACGCTGGCGTTGGATAGGGCACACACTGAGAAAACAGGAGAACAGCATAACTAGAATGTCTTTGCATTGGAACCCACAGGGGCATAGGAATAAAGAAAGGCCAAAAAACACATGGAGAAGAGAGCTGGAGAAGGAGGTTAGAAAGATTGGGAGGACATGGGGAGAGCTCCATGTAATGGCGAAGGATAGAACGACTTGGCGTGAGTTGGTTGAGGGCCTATGCTCCATTGGGGGATAGAAAGGCAGAAGAAGAAGAAGACTGGTTGTAACCTCATTATCAAATCCACAATGCGAAATCATTGCAGTGGACATGCGGGAGTGCCTACAAATGTTCCTTACCCCGTTCTGTTTGATGAGAAGTTCCAGAAATTTCCAAATCAGCTGAGCTGACTCCCTGTCCACCATGTTGATGTTCTCAGCACAGGCACGAGCCTTGAGTTGACAAAACAACAGGACATCGTTCTTGTGTGTGTGCTCTCTGTCAGGAAAAACATTATTTAAGACAACTGTATAACTGAGTTATTCTGGTAGTGGAAGTAGCTCTTTGAAAATTGTTAATATTGTATCTTGTTCAAGTTATCAGGGTTACAATTAGTTTGGTTTTTTTTTTTTTTTATCATTTTGAAATTAGCTTTATTGATACACTTCTTATGGTCTCATTTCAACCAAGTGTAGAGATGACAAAATTAACTTGTAAATCTTGAACAACCTTCATGAGTTATAGTTACTGCTGGGTGGTGTGTCACGTATGCGTATTACTTTTAATCATTTTAGAAAGTATCTTCTTTCATACATTTGTTGTGATTTGTTGCGATTTCATTTCATACTATGTTTGAACTGAACATCATTTAACCTCCTGGTGCAGATAGTACAATATGCCAGTGGGTTCTCAGGCCCCAGTTTTGATGGAGGGCAGGGGGAAGGGGGGGGGGGGGGTGTCAGACCTAGTCTCCCCCCCCCTCCCCCTTTTACAAGCTCGTTGTAAAATTTAACTAATTATGAATCACTGAAATCGGATCTGTTGAGACGAAAGGTGCAGATATCGTACCCTTTCAGAAAAACACAACACAACATGTCAACGACCCTTTTAAGGGCCAAAGAAGCAGAAGAAGAAGTAAGAAAACAGTAAAGGTGGCCAGTGTGATGCCGACTACATCTCCCATCGAGTCCCGAGTGGTCTATGACATTTAGGTCTAGTCCTATATGCCCAATACGCCTGAAAGCGTGGAAAACGTTTTATTTTTTATTTTTACCATCTGCAATGATACCCATTTAATGTATCCAGTACTGAGAATGAAACCTGATAAACCTGCCAAAACAGCTTTCACATGGATACCAGGGGGAAAGAGACAAAAGGGGCGCCCCAAAAAACAACATGGAGACGAACTATGGAAAATGACCTGAGTGCTGCATCTCTGACATGGAAAACTGCACTGAAGATTGCACAGGACAGGAAAGCATGGAAAGTCCTCTCTGAAGCCTCATGTGCCACTAGGCATGAAGAGAATTGATGAATGTATCCAGAATACACAGGCATTATCATAGAGTATCATCACCTACCTTGTCAAAGGACCAGGAAATCGTTTCAGCTCATCAGCTTCTGGACAACTTTCTAAGATGGCCTGCACATCCTGTACTTCTATTATGGCAGGCTGTCCATCAGTTGGCCGATTAGGCAGAACCTTGATCAGCTGACCAGTGGGGCCGAAGCAAGCTCTAACATGTGGGTAGTTATACTTAGGTGGCGTCATACGTCCTTGATCGTAACCTGATCATGAAAATAAACATCTCTGCATGAGAAATGACCATAAACAAGCATTGTTTGGGGTTCCTAATAAGATGCAACAACAACAAAAAACACAGCTGAGTAATGTATGTTGTAAACTGGCATACAATTACTACCGCTGTGTCCACAAGCAGAGGTTCAAGTGCAGTCATGTACTTCATGACTTCAACTACTTTAAATTTTTTTTTTATTGCCTCACTTAGTTCTTTGGCTCCCAGGTCGACCCAGCCTTAAAGGGGTACCAGGTAGAGACCTGGGAAGTAAAGGCTGCCAGCATGATGTTGACCACATCACTCACCAAGTGCCAATTAGTCTATAAAATATAGGACTAGCCCTATATGCCCAATACAGCTAAAGGCGTTTAAAAGTGTTAATTTTACTTTTCTTCTTCTTCATTGCACTCACCAGCTATACAACTTCAGCGGAGAGTTCTGGTTGTTCGTCCAATTCTGGTCGTTGGTCTCATTTCAGAACTTGAGTTTTGCATGAGCACCAATTTTTACAGGTCTGGCTTATTTGTGAGCAAACTACTTGTTTCTCACCTCACAGACAGATGCACTCAGACTTTGAAGGAGATACCCTTAATTAATCGCCTATTACGACATGCTTCTTGGGGGGAGGGCACTGTCAGTCTATTCGTTGTTCTCCAAAATGGGAGTATGCTCAATATATGAAAGCCACACAGTAGTGCCAAAAAAAAAAAAAAAAAAAAAAGAGATGCTTGCCAGCCTGCCCAAAGGTCTTGGCTTCAAATCTGCACAGACAGATTTTTAAATATTGCTCCAGGGAAAATAACAAGGGAAATAAAGGCGGACATTGTGGTGCTGACTATATTACCCACCAGATACCAACTGGTCCATACCATAAAAATATGGGTCTAGCACCATATGTCGGATCGGCTAGTGAAACGTTAAAAGGGTACTTTCTATTTATTAATGCTGAATACATACGCAGTTCGTAGACCAGTAGAAGGCATTCGACAGAGTGCACAGACAAGTAATCTAATTCCAATCTATTTCATTCTAATCAAAAACAAGGCAATGATATCCACAATTAAAACCACAAATATTCCAAATTACCTTGAGTGTACTCATCATATGGCAGATAATATCCAGCTGCGTATGGATTATAGCCATAGTTTTCATAGTACTGACTGTAGCCTTCCAAATTATAATTTCGGGCATAGTAATCCCGGCTGTAGTCTGTGCGGCTGTCTGGTCGAGAGCCATGAAGTGCATAGTAGTCAGAGCTAACAGAAAGAATGGTTATTAATTTGTGTGAAATAAAGATATACATTGTAAAGCTCTACTGTTTGGTTCTTTACTCCCCCGTGTGGGTTCAAGGGGCCCCATTGTGGGGAAAACAAGAATAGACACACTGCCTCCCCCAAAAGCATGTTGTAAAAGTCGACTAATTGGGGAGCTTCCTTTGAAGTCGGAGTGCATCTGTCGGAGAGGCAAGGAACCAACAGTCTGTATTCAAGAGAATGAGATCTGTAAAACTGATGCACACGCAACACTCAGGTTCTGGAGCAGGACTGCAGTTCAGTAGTGGACGAGCAACCAGAACTTTCCGCCAGAGTGTACAGCTGGTGAACGCCAAGAAGAAGAAGGAGGTTCTTTACACTTCTCTTCAAGCACTATAACTCTTAATCATGTGAGTAAAATTTTTTTCATAACCTCTGGTTTCTAGTACTACCCCCTCCCCCCAGAATGACTGCCCCCTTAACAAGAATGTCATAAAAGTTAACTCTTTCTTTTTCTTTCCATTCACCAGCTGTAAACTCCGGCCAAAAGTTCTGACTATTTGTCCACCTCTGGAGTTTAGTCTTGTTCCAGAACCTGAGTGCTGCGTGCACATCCGTTACAGATCTCGCTTATCTGCGTATAGACTGTTGGTTACTTGCCTCTTAGGCAGATGTACTCCAACCACAAAGGAAGCCCTGAATTAGTCAACTATTACAACAAACCTGTAGAGAAAGCAGTAGCACTATTCTTGTTTTACCAACAATGGGGCCCTGAAACCCAGATGGGAAGTAGGTAACATATTAAGGATTTGCTGAAACTGGATATGTTGGGTGCCAAATGCTCTTTTCAGGGTGAACTTAAAGTGCTCTAATACTATTTATTATTAGATCTGATTTTATATAATTTCCAATTTTTTACTATTTTGTGTTTTGTTTCTTCACCTGATTCTACTATAAACTGTTTGTATAAATTTTTTTGCTGTAACAAACTGTTATTTTTAAAAATCATCATTTCATTATACCGTTCTGCTATTAATCAGAAGAAATATTTATCTTAGATAAGTTTTTATACTGACAATAATCACATTATATTGGGTTCTTTTGTAATATCCTACCCCAGATGACGTCACAGGACAGTCCAACACTTTAGAGGGTGGTAAGACTGGGTTTCCCATTTTTCTGAAGCTTTTAACAAACCCAAAACATCTAGAACTGGCCCTAACCACAACCCACAAGAGAGTGCAGCCTAGGTCCCACAACTGCACGCAGCCTATCTACCATCCCCGGAAATATTAGACTGTCCCATGACCTGTGGATTTCCCCCATTTGGGGTAGGATTTTGGAAAAAGCACCTTATATTGTATTTAACCTAAACAAGTGACAAAAAGATCACATTTAGTTTTGCCAACGCACATCTGTTAAATCCATCTTTAATACTTTGTTTTATAGTGTACCAGCCATCTTAAGGAACCGTAGTTTAAGTGCAATCATCACTAATTATCTGACTGCATCATTATTTAAAACAACCTTTCTCTCTCAAAAATAAAAATAATTAAATATTCCTTGACAAAGTTTGTTGGAATTTGTAGCATTTTTTTAATGGGATGAGGTGACCAACACCAGTCTCATCCCAACTTACTGTTAGTTGTCTCTTATTACATGTCTGATGGGGTGTAGTGTTCTACTTCTTTTTCTTCTGCCTGTTCACCAGCTGTGAACTTCGGTGGAAAGTTCTGGTTGTTCGTCCACTTCTGAACTTTAGTCTTGTACCAGAACTTGAGTCTTGCGCACAAATTTATTTATTTTCAAGTATATATATATATTTTTTATATACACTAAGGATTAAAAATATTGACATCAACTATTTCTGTACTGTGTAACGCACCATAGGTTTATGCTTATTTTAAAGAAACTAGACTTTTCAGACTTTTGTCCTACTTCCTGTATAGGTTTTGGGGAGGGAGGGGCACACCGCCTCCCTAACAAGCATGTTATAAGAACCAACTAATTAGAGGTTTCCATCAGTCGGAGTGCCTCTGCCTGAGAGACAAGGAACCAACAGTCTGCATACAAATAAGCCAGATCTGTAAAATGGATGTCCTTGCATAGCTCCAGTGAAACAAAACTAAAGTCCTACAGAAGTGGATGAACAACCAGAACTTCCTGTTTGAGTTTACAAAGAAGAAGACTCTTTTCTATTGACAAACAGTTCTTACATTAACTTATTATATCTGGATTCTTAATTTGGTTTCTTCTGCCCCATTGTGTTAATATTTAAGGTATTTTAACTCCATTCTGACTAAACCAGAAGTTCTAAAAAAAAAACATTTAAAATAATCAAAGGCTGGTATGAAAAGAGTTAAAAACAGGGCTGACTGATCATAAACCAATTATATCATTTAGTGTTAGCTAAAACATATGATTAAGCTATTAAACAAACATGTGGTTGATAAAATATGCCCCAAATACATCATTAACTATGAATAAAATAAGGTCTATTGTGTTGTGTGGCACAAACTAGTTTAATTATAACTTATATGTGTTTTCAGTTCTTATTAATCACCAAACAGAAAAATGATAGTAAAATACACCTATATATAAATTATTATTACTTAATACATAAATGTTTTGCTTTTTTTTTTTTAATAAACACGATTACATTTTTCATCACTATTTCCTAGTCACTAAATATGTGAATAATTTATTTTCAAATAACTTATTAAAGGTTATAATTAAACTTATAACTAAAAATGTTATTGACTGACTACACACTAATCATGTGACAAATTAATTAAACTGTGAACACTCGATGAACATAAATTTAACATGTTACTGATATTTATTTTTTTAAATAACTTTACTTAGAAGTCAAACATGCTGCTTACTGTAAAATTTGTAGGTATAACTTATTATAATGTAAATAAACGATAATGACTATGTTTTTAATATGCGCTGATTCGAAAATCAATTTTATCCTGTGTGGGTTCCGAGGTCTCATTTGGGGGTTAAGGGGTTGGAGTTAGACTCAATGTTCCCTAACAAACATGTTGTAAAAGCCACTAATTATGCATCTAATTAAATCATATGTACTGGGCCGAAGGGTGCAGATATCACAGTCTAGCTGTAAACCACAAGAAAAAGAAGAAGAAGAAGAAGAAAAAAACTCTGATGATTTATATATATATATATATATATATTTGGCAATAACCGATTATAAACTAAAAATCCCCAAAAGAAGTTGTAGGTTTTGGTATGCTGAATCAATGCCACTAACAATATTCCTTCACTGACGTCACTTCCGGCCATCAAGCATTGTTTCTCTTGATCTGCCTCTTCTACAGTTTACCTTTCCTATTATCATGATGTTCTCCAATCTCTCTCTTCTCATCACATGACCGAAGAACACTGACTGTTTCTTATAGCCGTGTACAGTTTTCTGATTTCAAAAGCCATTTCCAGACAGTCGATGTAGTTACTCTGGCTACCCACAGTATTTGCAGCAAATCTCTTAAACCCATCTCTTAAGTCTACAAGTTCTTCTTAATTTTTTCAATTACATTCCACGATTCACAGACACATTGCAGCACTGGTTCAAAGTAACATTTCAGAACCTGATCAACAAGAAGGACCTATCGCATGGAATACTTTGTGAAGTTTTACTAGGCAATTTTAGATCAACTAGATTGCCATTTCTTTCTAAAGGCAGAATGCTCATACCATTGTCAAAATGAAAGCAAAGCAGTTAACTACCATAACACCTGCAGCAGATTGTGAACCAGGGTACTTCTTGATTGTAAAATATTGTGAAACTGCACTCACAACCCCTTTAGCTCCACATGTGAGTTCCAGAGCCCTATTTTAAAGGGGAAATATAGACCCACTGACCCCCTCAACCCAACAAGCATGTCATAAAAGGTGACCTATTGAGGGTTTCTTTAAATCAGATGTGTTGTGTCAAAAGGCACAGATATTGCAGCCTAGCTGTAAACGACAATACAAGTTCCAATTGCCCCTTTTTAGGGCAAACACAAAAGATGAACATCTTAGCCACAGATGCCAAGTTTTAAACAAAATGTGATTCATTAGTTATCAGCATGGTTTTCTTAAAAAATATGTGATTGTCACTAATTTGTCTATCTCTGCCTGTATGTATGTATGTATGTATGTATGTATGTATGTATGTATGTATGTATGTATGTATGTGTGTGTATGTATGTATGTGTGTGTATATATATATATATATATATATATATATATATATATATATATATATATATATATATATATATATATATATATATATATATATATATATATACACGTGTATACAAACGGACCAAGCAGTGATCAGCACTCATAGAAAGAAGTAGAAAGATCAAAGTCTTGTCTATTTACGCTCAAAAATAAAGTGACAATCAACACCGAAGCAGGCAAAGGGTTAAAGCATTACCATAACAGACAAAAGCACATCAATTACAACAGCCACAAGCTTCATGCCACTCCTAGCTCAGTCTAATGTTTGTTTGTTATAGCATCCAGAAGCCATGAGTTGTTAACCATTAGACTCGGTATTATGGATATCGCAACCTTTCGGCCTTGATTCCATTGTAAATACCGTAAATCTGGGAGAAATGTGGCTTTTCTGCCTACCCCCGGGAGTGAACCCGGACCACAAGGAGTTCGTCACCCGGTCACTGCGCAATCCGGTTTAGCCAACTACGCTAGAGAGCCAGGTAGCTCTGTCTAAAAAGAACATTAACCCAGAGAGAAATTTTAACATATTTATTTTCATCCATTTTTATATTACACTTTCTCCTCGACCTATGCAACTTATGACCATCAGTACTTAGGACCACAATAATTTATTTGAAAAAAATTAGTAAAAAAAAAAAAAAAAATAACTAGACTGGTAAGGTCAAAAAGCTCCTTGCACTGATTATTTTACATTATGTACGATAATTATACATGAACAGATTGAATTTTTGTGTTTTATGTACATTTTGTATAGCCTTTCTAAATGAAAATCGTGCTGTAAAAGATATTTTCAACTTACAACCTAGTTTGACTTACAACCTAGTTGTTAAGGAACTGCATCATAAGTCCAGGAGACTATTTCTTGTCTACCCTAACATGTTGCGATAGCTTAATAATTGTTCCCCCCCCCCCCCCCCCAAAAGTGGTTTCTGCCACCTCCCCCCGCCCCCACCCAAAGGCATGGTTATTTTTCCCTCCATGATTTTTGTTTTAAATAACTGACCTTCACTCCCAGGCTGACACAGGCCTTAATGAGTTCCAAGAAATATCCTGGGAAGAAAAGGTAGCTAGTGTGATGGTGACAAAATAACCGATCAAAAGCCGGCTGGCCTAAAAAGAAACATGTGTCTAGCAACATATGCCCAATGCACCCTAAGGCACAAAAGGGGGATGTTTATACTATGCGATACAACTCATGGAAGACTGTATTTCTAATTTCAACGAACGAGTACTTCCTTTACTGAAGTATGGTCTTTCAATTTCACCCTGCATAATTTCAACAGTTTATCATGTTTACCCTGATTTGATTGCTGGAGGAGGCGGAATTCCAGGAGATGGAGCAGTAGCTGGGGTACTCCCTCGTGACTGACTCCGACTGCTAGAGTGTTCTGACCCCTGACTACTGTGCCTTCTTTCTTCTTGCTGCGGTTGCTTCTGCTGTGCCAGCTGTTGTTGATAGTAATAACCAGCATGCCTATGCAAACAAGTGCCAAGAAATCAAGGGAAGGAAATAAATGCACAGTCATCAAAAGCACACACACACACTCACACAAAAGCAGCATTAAAAAACCAAGGGATGTTGCATATGGCCTGTTAAAAGTAATCAGAATGGGGAAAATGCAAGCTGTCAGAAATGCTGTAACTTTAACAATCCTCAAGTGTGTTGTATTCTTTGCACACACAAATGCACGCTATCAAAAAAGCTGTAACATTACCAGTCTTAACTCCCTGTGTGGGTTCCGGGGCCCTGTTATAGGGAAAACAAGAACAGACCCACTGTCTACCCAAAAGCATGTCGTAAGAGTCGACAAATTGGGAGCTTCCTTCGAAGTCGGAGTGCATCTGCCTGGGAAGAAAGGAACCAGCAGTCTACATACAAATGAGTCAGATCTGTAAAATGGATGCACACACAACACTCAGGTTCTGGAACACGACTGCAGTCCAGAAGTGGATAAACAACCAGAACTTTCCCCCAGAGTTTGCGGCTGGTGAATGCGAAGAAGAGGAAGAAGAAGAACAATCTTGAAGTGTACTGTATTCTTTGCACACAAAAATTAACGCTTTCAGAAAAGCTGTAACATTATCAATCTTAAGCTGCATTGTATTCTTTGCAATCTTTTCAATATGGTATCCAGCTCAGCAACTCTGGCCTCTTTCATCAATATTTATCTTGAGGTTTCTTCTCTTGGATGTCCTTGTTTCCTAAATCCATTTGTTTCCTCATTTCAGTGCTTCTTGGTTGATTCTCTGTCCTTTTCTTCTCAGGATATAAAATGGTTGAACACCATGTTGCATATTCAGTAAATGTCAACGCTGTGAATTTGACTTTTTCAATACAAATAGTATGTCTGTTGTGTATTTGGGAGGGCGAATTATCAGACAAAAGAGTCAAATTTTGTAATATTTTTGTTAGGTTGTTTTTAACAATTTAAACTCCCAATCCAAGTTTTAATGTCCTTATTCTTTTAAATGTTCTACTTATTTAAATTATTAATACCAGATTTCTTTTTTAAAAATATTAAAGAAGGTTGGCAAAACAAGACAGAAGCTTAAATTATCTGGAAACTTTAATGACAAGCGGAGGTCATCTGGTGGAATTTAACAATTTTAACACAAGTTAATGCAGGTTATCATTAAGAATGCAGAGTAACGTTAAAAAGAAGTCAACAAGGATGTTCTGGCATCATTTAACAAACATTAAAGAGAATTATCTGTTATCTGGAAAAGATAGTGCAAGTTATTATCTAACAACTCCATTAAAAATACAGGTTATTTAGCAATACAGATTGAATAACAAAAATTATTGGAGATTAGTTGACAACATTTAAAGACAGGCAGAGTTGTTACATGGCAACATTTAACAAAAGTTAATGGAGATTAGTTGACAACATTTAAAGACAGGCAGAGTTGTTACATGGCAACATTTAACAAAAGTTAATGGAGATTAGTTGACAACATTTAAAGACAAGCAGACATTGTTACATGGTAACATTTAACCAAATTAATGGAAATTAGTTGACAACATTTAAAGACAGGCAGACATTGTTACATAGTAACATTTCACAAAAGTTAATGGAGATTAGTTGACAACATTTAAAGACAGGTAGAGTTGTTACTTAGCAACATTTAACAACAATTAATGGAGATTAGTTGATAACATTTAAAGACAGGCAGAGTTGTTACTTGGTAACATTTAACAACAGTTAAGGGAGATAATAACAGATGCCATTTGATAATGTTAAACAAAATTTGTAGGAGATTTTCTCAGAATATTTACAGATGAAATAGAATATCCAGTATTATTTAGTGACTCAAACAGAAATAAAAATTATCTTGCAACTTTCAACAACTTTTAGTGTAGATTTCCTGAAAATGCATGACCAAATTTAACAGAGATTCTCTAATTATGTAAACAGATTATCGTAGAGATTATCCTGTATGTATAACAACAATTACAAATTATGTCATAAAATTTAGCACAATTTAAATGGGATAGCCAGCCAACTTTAAAAGCAGGCAATACTATTGGGTAACATTTAGTAAAAATTAATGTAAGCTATCTGGATATAAGCAAAAACTAATTCTGACAGGCAGATTAACCAAATCTTTTCTGATAGCAAAGGCATACAACAACCACACAAACAGATTTACGAAGCAACAGCAAACAGAAATCACGCTAGAACAAGCAGGCATACAAAAGAACATACTTGGGGCCATAATATTCCTCGAAGTATGCACGTGCATACCGAGCTTCTTTCTCTTGATAATATTTGTAATAACGTTCCCGATCATCTTGATAGTAGTCAACCTGTCTAGCATAGTTGTCGTAGCCGTAACCTGAGCAGAGTGAAAAGAGAGAAATAAAACTGCTTGGTGAGAAGGGTGGACAGGACAATGGGGGAGGGCAGAGAAAAGGATAGGAGAGAGAGTGTCAGCAAAACAAAAATTGGTAAAGGAAGCTAACATGACTCATGTAGAAATATAGAATAGTCTGGTCTATTCTGGAAGCCGCCGTAGTGTTAGTAGCAGCTAGCTGCTCACCAGCAGATCCAAAGGTCATGGGTTTCAAGCCAGACATTTTTTTTCTTAAAAAATGAAATTGGTTCCCAGGCTGCCCCAGCCCAAAATAGGTACCAGGTAAAGTCCAGGAAAGTAAAGGCAGCCAGTGTGATGCTGACCAAATCATCCACATAGTACCGATTGGTCTGAAGATATCGGTCTAGCCCTATATGCCTAAAGGCCTTTACTTTTTTTTTAAACTTTACTTTGGTCTGTTTCTAATGAAAGTATCTGATTTTACTGCCAAATGAAAGTAGATTAATCCTCTTAGCACAGACAGGCCGATTATCCGCCACCGGCAGTCTGGCCAAAAACACGGAACGGCCGATCATCGGCCCGATTGTGTTTCGCCTTGACACGCTAAGAAATCTCCTAATTTGAAACACTGAAAGTGATTCTTTTATATTCAATGCTGTATTAGTTTTACACATGGCGACTTTCTAGAGTTTGGTATCGAAGTGAAAATTGTTGTTGAATTTTTTAGATAGTGACCTGAACCGCTAAAAGTATGTCTGACTCGTATGTTTCTGCCCCTAAACTTGATGTTGATAAAACATCTGAATCAAGTAATGACACTAATTCTATTGATACTGATGCAGGATCTAGTGTTAGTAGTAATGGTGGGGAATCAGATGGGGACACTGTTGTGTTCAGACCTAAGCCCAACCATGGCTCAGGGTATATCCACCCGAAGGTGTTGACACTCCGACACAATAATTTCTTGTGCTGATGGTAAAAAACACATGTCACCTAAAGATATTATTGCTGTTTCATATATATATATATATATATATATATATATATATATATATATATATATATATATATATATATATATATACCTGTTTTTTGACTATTGAATTGCTTACAACATTTGTAAAAAGGCCAAAGATCAATAAAAAGATTTCAAATAAAATATATTTTTGTTTTTAGTTTTGTGTTTCATTCATTGAAGTTGAAAATTCACATTCTAATTTTCTATTTTTAGATATGCAAATGAGATAATTTGCATATACATCAATTATTTTCAACGATATTGTGAAAATCATGAACTTCAATCTATATCCTTCAAATAAATATATTATTTCTTGGGGGTCAGAATAACAGAAATGTGTCAAAAAAAATAAAATAAAGTTATAACCAAATTTACTGAAAAAATGCTGTGTTTTTGGCTAGACATCTGAAAAACTTCCCATGCTAAAAGGGTTAAAGACTGGCGTGACCAAATCATGAATGTGGAGTGAGCTGAGAAGTGTTCAGCTCACCAAGAAAGTGAAATGCTTTTACCAAGAAACACCACATGACGTCCCATAATGTGCCGTCTTCAGGTGGAGGAACACATTGGGGAGGATACTAGGTTTATCCTAGAAAGAGGAAATGAAACCTGATAACTTTATGTTATGGCAGGGCAGACCAGGCCCTTAGCCTTGGCTGGCAGCTGGTCTAGGAGAGAAGCTCCGAGGCAGACACAAAGAGCATTGCTCTTATGATCCAGCAGCTTCTGCAGCCTGCTTTGTTCCAAACGTACTGGTGTTACATTTCCACTGGAGTAAACAAGGCAGGTCGAGAGAGGGATCATGATGCATAGGCAACATATGGTCTCTATAATACTGCCCCGGCTTTGTGCTATGGAGAGGACGAACTTCATCCCTGGCCATATGCCCCCTCACAGCGCAATATCACACTACTGTGTGGAAAGACTGAAAGGTGCCAATCTATAGCAAATATTCAAACAGAGAAAGAAACAGGAACTAAAAGTGAGAGGGAAAAATGCAAGACAATGTGAAGACAGAAAAATCACTGGGAGAAAAAAAAAGTGGATAAAACTAAATGTTTAAAAATGAATGAATGAAAGAGACACACAGAGCATGAAATCAATGAAACACAGAATAAATTGCATGACAAACTAAAATAGATTCATCTTAGTATCATGTAGAAGAGCCTATATAGAACATCGCTCTCATCACGGTCTGCCTGACATAAACTCTGTCTCTCTCCAGCTTTCCCACCTCATGTACTTTCATATTCAAGGAGTCACTTATATCTTGTGCCCATCTTCGTGTTGGTTGCCCCTACCCCTTTTCCCTGATGTTATGAATTCTGCTATTATTTTTTTCCAATCCCTTATGGCGCTTGATAAGACCAAAATATTTCAGATTCAGTGTATGATGGAAAAGAAGAGCAACAGTTAAGAAGCAAGAGTGAGTAAAGAGTAAGTGGAAGTATGAGTGGTAATAAAAAGAAAATATGATGACAGTACAATATGTCAATTCGAAGAATAATTACATTTTAAACTAATTATTTAACATAAACCAAATCACATCTTACTTACTATTTATATGATTAAAAAGCCATCAGATAACATTCCCCACCCCTAATAAAGTAAACATAATCTCAACAAAATAAACCATATAACTTACCTCTGTGTCTGTTTCTGTAATAGTCTCTGTCACGGTCATAAGTTCCCCTTGACTTTTCTACCTCCTGACCTGACCTAGATGAAGGTCGGCTGCTATGGGATTCATCTACATAGGAAAAAAAAGGGAAAACAAATATCCTTTCTTAAAACAAAAATTTCATTTATGTTCATCAATTCATCACAGTATTTCCACCTGTACCATTGGTTACTTTGCAGTTTGACTAGAGTCTTTCCTCTTCTCCCAGATGGCATATTTATCCCTCTCTGCATTCACATACTGAAAACACGTGGAAAGTTCATGTTGTCTGTTCACTTCTGGACTTAAGTCTTGCTCCAGAACTTGAGTCTTGCAGGCACATCCATTTAACAGATCTGGCATACCTGTACGCAGACTGTTGGCTCCTTGCCTCTTGGGCAGATGCATTCCAACTCCCAAAGAACTGCTAATTAAGTTGCATTTAAATACATGTTTATTGCGAAAGGGGACAGTGGATCTATTCACCCCTCCCCCTCAAAATGGAGCGCCAGAACCGTCACAGGGAAGACATATTTCAAATGACAATCTCTATGGGCAGTTGACAAATGGTAATAGAAACTGCACACACATAGCTTTGATTCAAGATATGCAAGCAAAAAATATGTTGAGAAGAAACCCCACAACCGGGAAAGGACTAACAACACAAAAATACATTGTAAGAAATTACCTTCAGCTCTGTGACAGGAAATACTACAAGGGGAGAAGAGATAAATACACCAGACTTATGTATAACTAGAAAGTCTTTTCACTAGAACCTACAAGCCCAAATAAATCAGCGAAGACCTTACAACACTTGGAGTAGAGAAGCAGAGACAGAAAAGAATCATTTGTGATGAACTCTGGTCTAGCATACCTAATATCCAAGGGTCATTAACTTTTTTTTTTTAAACTTAATGCTTTCTTCTTATTTGTGTTCATTGCTGGCTGTAACTCCTGCCGAAAGTTCTTGTTGTTCATCCACCTCTGGACTTTAGTCTTGACACTAAACCTGAGTGTTGTGTGCACATTTGTTTTACAAATCTCACTTATTTGTATGCAGACTGTTGGCTCCTTGCCTCTCAGGCTGACACACTCCGACTTCAAACCCCAATCAGTCAACTCTTACAACATGCTTGTTAGGGAGGCAGTGGGTCTATTGTTGTTTTCCCCACAATGGGGTCCTGAACTCACATGGGGTTTGCCTCTTCTACTTCTTCATGTTCACTGGCTGTAAACTCCAATGGCAAGTTATGGTTGTTTGTCCAAGACTTTAACCTTGTTCCAGAACCTGAGTTTTGCATGCACATCCATTTTACAGCTCTATTTTCCATATATGTATGCAGACTACTGGTTCCTTGTCTCTCAGACAGACACACTCCGACTTCAAAGGAAACACCCCTAATTAGTCAACTTTCATTACATGCTTATTAGGGAAAGGGAGGCAATGGGTCAACCCCCCCCCCCCCCCCCCCCCCCCCGATGGAATCCCACCAGAAACCACACGATTCTTTTGCATACTGCCCAGATTACTATGCAGCAATATTTGCTCCCTAGCCAATCTACATTACTCAATTAAAGTAGTACAGTAAAGATCCCTTTTCCCGCCTTTCAGCGCATCGGGAATATGGGCAGAGCGTCCCATATTTTTTACAGACCAATCGGCACTCGTGGGTAATGTGGTCAGCATTTCGCCGGCCGTCTTTACTTTCCCAGGACAGCCATCCTGGTACCCATTTGAGGCTGGGTCGATCTGCGACATCCCATACTACGATAAAAATCCACGCAGCTATATTACTCAATTAACTCATTTTATCTTTCTAGCTCTACTCTGAGGTGTAGATGTATTTACTCTTTTCTTTTTTTTTTTTTTGTTCTACAATTCTTATTCATGTGATATTTTGTGCTTTTATCTTCAAAATGCACATGTTTTTTTCTTTAATATGAAATAAGGCATACACAAACATACATATCTGACCTTGTCGCGATCGAGGTCTATCATATCGTTCATCATAAGAATGATCTCCAAAGTCTCTATAGGACACTCGGTTTCGACGATAAGTGTCTTCCCTTGGGTCACCTTCAGTTCTACTCAAAGGGCGCTCATAATGATATTGTCCACTGCTGCTGCGTTCATTTCTGCTCACGGGTCGGTCACTTCTGCTCACAGGTCGGTCACTTCTGCTCAGGGGTTGGTCACTTCTGCTGAACAGTCTATCAGATTCCCGCCTGTAGGAATCGTGTCTACTGGAGTTGAAAGATGTATCTCTCGAGTCTTGCTGCTGGCTGTAGTAACTTCGATCTCTAACAATAAAACAAAAATTAAAGTTTGTAACAAATACAGCTATAAAATGGTAACAATTAAACTCATAAACCTCCCTGTGAGGGTTCCGTAGCCAAGTGGAAAATTCTGGTTGTTTGTCCATGTCAGTACTTTGGTCTTATTCCAGAACTTGAGTTATGGATGTACATCCACTTTACAGAGCTGGCGTATGTGTGCGCAGACTGTTTGTTCCTCACCTCTCAGGCAGATGCCCTCTGACTTTGAAGGAAAAATCCATAATTAGTCCACTTTTACGACATGCTTGTTGGGGGAGGGGGCGCAGTGGATCTATTCCCCCCCCCCTCCCCCCCCCCCCAATGGGGCCCTATACCTCACACTGGAAAACAGGCATTCAAAGGGTGATGTGGTCAACATCACATGGCTGACTTTACTTTCTAGGATATTTCCTGCTACCCATTTTGCAAGTAATCTGGCCTGGGGCTAAGGTCAATTATTATAAAAACTGGGATCAATCTTTATTCAAAACCAAGATCTTCAGGTCGGTAGGCAGGCATCTAGCCACTGTGCTACAAAAACTATTTCTCTAACACCCCCCCCCCCCCACCCCTCAAATTTTAAATAACAGAAATGAAGAGATAGGAATAATTATAATGCAGATAACCATCAACCCAACATGATGGGGATATCTGACAGCAATAATGTCAATAAACAGAAGAGAGAAGTAAAATTCTAAGGCAGAGAAACCATTAGGGGACACCTAAAACAGCATCAGTGGTAACAGAAAAGACAAAAACACAAACCCAAAGTCACAGAGCCAAGATTCCTAATTTGCTTCTTACATTCTTCTCAATATTCCCCAGCTGTAAACTCTGGAAGAAATGTCTGGCTGTCTGTCAGCTTCTGGACTTTGGCTTGTTCCAGGACTTGAGTTCATTTCTATTTTTATAGATTGGCCTATTTATGTGCACTCCAACTTCAAAGGAAATGATGATCCTATCCTGGCTGGGGGAAAAAAATTCTACAATGACTGCAAAGAGGTGTAAATAGGTCCAGACGAGTATGAGTACAGGTCCCCGTGCATCTTTATGTGAGGTTCAGCATCGTTGCAGCCCTGCTTTGCTAGGAACAGCTGAGACGAACAAAAAACAACAGTCATGATCTGAACAGCTAAAACAAACACAAAACTAAGTCATACAAGGCCCAACAATTAAGTAATGAGACTAATTCCATAAAAATTACAATAATCAACAGTTGAAGATAAACCTGTATATGATTCAAAGTAAGTCCTTTGTGCATTGATACAGCAAGTGGCACGATCTAACAAACACTAAAACGACCTCTGTAGTTCTTCTGTTGTTATGGCCCTTAAAGTTAATGTTACGGCCCTTTGAATGTTTTCAATATCATTGAAGAAGTGTCCTTTCAATCGTAACTTTAATTTTGGGAATAGAAAATAATCACATGGAGACAAATCTGGGAAATGGGGTAAAAGGTTGAAAACACTGACTTGTTTTGGGGCCAAAAATTCTTGTTTTGATGATGTCTCTTGGGTACTCAACCCGCTGATGTTTTTGGTCATCAGATAACGAATGTGGTACAAACCGGCAAGCAACTTTTTGCTTGCCAAAATCTTGCACTATAATGTTATGAATGGTCTCTGTATTAACACCAAATTCATTTGCCATCATCCTCACAGTAAACCTATGAACTTCTTGTATCCGTTCTATGACTTCTGCAATGAGTTCATCATTCTATCTATCTACAGTCTTCTTCACTTTTACCGGGTTGCAGCCCAGTGTCGTGGTTTAAAATATTTGTTTTGTGCCTCTCGCGTGATTTGAGTGACAGTTTTCTGGATCTTCTGGCCGTATTCAGCTACTCCATCTATCCATTTTTTCCTGGGTCTTCCTCTGGCCTCTCTTCCCGATGTTCTACTGTAAAAGGCCTTATAGGCAATCTGATCTGGTTGCATTCTTACTAAATGGCCAAACCACTTCATTCTCTGTCTTTCAATATGTTACATGCATGCTCTTGTTCCAACTTTGTCTCTAATGCTGACGTTTGTGACTCTGTCTCTTCGTGTATTGTTGGTGACTCTTCGGAGACATCGCATTTCACACGTAGTTATTTTTTGCATATGTGATTTGTTCATTGTCCACGTTTGGCACTGATAACATAACGTAGGGATGAAAATGCTGTTGATCATCCGTTGTTTGGCTGGTAACGAGATCTTTGGATGACGAAGAAGTGGGGCCAGTTGGTAGTTGACTGCATTGGCTTTTTGAACGCTAGCCTTTATCTCTTTATTGAGTCTTCCATCTTCTGTAAATATGCATCCCAAGTACTTGAATTCTTGAACTTGTTTTAATTGTATGTCATTGATCTTTATGTTTACATTACTGTGTTTCTTTCCTATGGTCATTACTTCAGTTTTTGAGGTGTTTATGTTCATGTCAAATTTTGTATAGTTAGTGAGCTATGAATCAACTTGTAGTTTTTGTTCTTCTTCTTGTAACAAACATTGGTCATCTGCAAAGAGTAGTTCATTTATAATATCTGTGTTTTGGTTTGACTCCTTTGCAATTTTATCCATATATGTGATGAAGAGTAGGGGTGATAGGACACATCCTTGTCGTACTCCTGATGTAATGGGGAACCAGTCTGTCATACCTTCCGTTGTTCTTACAGCGCTCTGGCTATTCTGATAGAGAGCCATTATGTTTCCCCATAATTGACCCGGTATACCATATTCTTCAAGAATGTTCCATAGTTTATTTCTGTTAACCATGTCAAAAGCCTTCTCTTGATCAATGAATATAAGATTCTGATGTTTATTATATTCGATTGTCTGTTCACAAATTTGCCGAAGAGCAAATATTGCATCAGTGCAGCTCTTTCCTTTTCTAAATCCATACTGGTTGAGTTCATCATTACGAACAGAAATTTGGCGACCAGGTCTAGGTGCATTGGTAATTATTTCCACACCACTTTTGAATAGTGAATACCACCCAAAAATTTTTGCAAGAGATAAACAATTATCCCCATAAACTTGTGGCATCAATTCAACTTTTTCAATGGTGCTTTCTCTGAGTTTTAAAAAGAATTTAATATTAGATTTTTGCTCCGTGCTGATTACGTAACAGTGCACCTCTGACTAGGTCAACAAAATGGCGGCTTGTTTGTTGTCTGCTTATCGCGTGGCGATAAAAAGTTGCCAGATTATAGATGAATGTTTCCTCTTTAGATTCCATGTTTTGCTTCATAGATGGCATTTTTATCTTGGCCATAATAAGATCAGTCTCATTACTTAATTTTTAGACCTTGTATAATCTGAACAGCTGAGAAAAAAATAAAAAAATCAGCAGTTATAATCTGAACAGCTGCTTCTTTATCAATCTCTAGTCATACGATTAATCCACTGTGGGACATAAACTGGGATACCAGTTTTAAATTTCTCAGGTTTTCCAAAAGTTTGGTTCTCAGGTCTACTGGATGTGGCAAGGAGACTAGTCTTGCAATACATGTTCTCAGGTCTGTTAAGCCAGAAGACACTGGCAGAGGGCTGTTTGGCTCATAGCTAATTTTTCATGAGTGTTTTTTTATTAGCCTGTAATGTCCTGTGTGTAAGTGTTTCAACAGCTTTACCAACTGGGAGAGATTAAAAATAACAAAAGTAACAAACATATTCAATCCAATTTTTTTTTTAAAAAGCATACTGCTGCTCTAAACAAACATACCTCTGTCCCTCAACTACTGCATCAATCTCATCCAAGGAGTCCAAAGATCTATTTTTGCTGCTTCTTTTTCTACTATCTTGGCTTCTGTTTCGTTCATCCTTTCTCTCACTATCTCTACTGTCAATCTGTTGAAGACAATAAGGAAATTTTTCTACAATGGAACTTCAAAAGCTTTCATAATTCTAGGAAATCTGTGAAAGTTAATGGTAAAAAAACCAAGTTCAAATTTAAAGTATTTAACTCTAACATCAAATTAGTAGTACTGTATGGGGTAGAAATACAGAGAACAAATAAAACAATTACACAACTACAAAAATTCCTTAACTTATGCCTATGCAGAATAGAAAGAATTAAACTGTATGAAGGATCACTAACACAGTGTTGAGGAAGAGAGCTAAAAAAAAACTACAGCAAATCAAGAAGTGAGAAAAAGATGCTGATGCTGGATAGGACACAGACAGAAAAACCTGATGACGGTATAATTAAAATGTCTTATCACTGAAACCCACAGAGCATAATAGACAGAGACGTAAAAAACACACAGAAAATTCAATTAGAGACAGAGATGGATGTGGAGAGAACTGCTGGAGATAGAATGAGATAGGGGAGTTTGGCAGGAGTCAGCAATGGTTTACGCTAAAATGTAGAATAAAGGGCAGGAAAACTACTGAAAAAAAAAACATCACTCAACAAACCAAGCTGCACTGCTTCTGGATATATATACTCAGCTACATTGATCCTGAATATTGCAAACGAAAAAAATATGCAACTTACCGATAAGTCAGCTGTACTGTCTAGTCCTGATCGTAAACTGTCAGTTTCTGTTACAGCACTGCCCTTTCCTTCTGCCATATTTCCAGATTTGTTAATAGATGTATTTGATGCAGAAAATGGGTAAGGGTTCAGATTTGGAATGATCAGAGGCATTGCAGGAGCAAGAAGTATGTTTGATGTGGGTGCCTCTGAGTTGTCCCAGAGGGTCGTGGCTGGAGACATCGCAGTCTGTCGAGGACGTGCAACAGGATGGAATGCTGATTGCCGACGCTGTTGGTTTGAAGCTGAAACCTCTTCAGAGTTGCGGGAGCTGCTTCTGATTGGAGGTTCTTCAGAATCTTTGCTGTGAACAGAGCTGGCACCCGACGACTTGACACTGTGTACAGATTCAGCGCCGGATGACTTGATACTGTGTGCAGAACTGGTGCCAACAGGCACAATGTTGTGTTCAGAGTCTCGTTTGTTAATTCTGCTTCCATCTTCTATTAAGGAACTACTTGTCAGTTTGTGTTTTTCAGAAAGAAAAGTAAATTCTCGTGACGTCTGTGACTTTTGCCGAGCACTTGCAGTTGCTTTATTCTCAGATGGCTGAGTGCTCTGTGATGTTGACATCTGGCTCTGTAAAGGAGGAAGTTCTTTAATGGGTTTGGTCATACCTGCATGCCTCAAACTCTTGAGACTTTCTCTCCGAAACAAGTTATCAGTTCCATCTTCTGGAGTTAGACTTATCTGGGTTTTAGTGAAATCTCTGTGAACTTTAGTAGAAGATGTGCTTGTGGTTACCTGAGCAAGAGCTTGTGCCTTTGAGAACGGCAAGTCATCTTCTTGGTGATCCGTGAAAGCTGCAACAAATGGACTACCAGAGCGCCCTCTAGAGTCATAATAAACCTGAACTGACTCTGTCTGCATTATGGTCAAAGATGTGTTATGATGTAAAGGACTGTTTTCCAGATCTGAATTTTGCAAGGCATCAAAAACACTATGATCAGACGTAACACTGACGGGTGGATTCTGTAAATGCTGAAGTGGCTTATCCTCATACTGTAACTTTCCCAGACCAGCAGGCATGTCCGTACCCCCATCTGGCTTGTCAGCTAAGGAATTAACATTAACATCCACAGACAGGTTATAATCAGGACCCACCAAATTAGACGATGGTGGAACAATCTCCCAGTCAGCAAGTCCCGAAGATCCACCTGACTCGCCAGATTCGGCAGACCCTGGCTTATCTCCATCTGTAGATGAAACTCCTGCACTATTATCAAAAGGCAGGCTATTGAGAAGGTGGCTGTGAAAAACAGCACTGTTGCCAAAGCCTGTATAGTCTCCTCGTATTTGTTTGTGATCAGAAACTGAGCTTTGATTATCACCTGTGTCTGTTTGCAGCTGCTCTATACTTGTACCTTCCACAAAAGAATTCTCTGGGTTAATATTGTGTATAACACCCGCTCTATCCTCCTCCATCCTCTGGACAAGGGCTTGAATGTTATGAAGTGGCTCTTGGCCATCATCATCATCATCATCGCCAAGGGAGAGGTTTAATGTTGAAAGACTAGCATTGCTAATTTCAGAGTTTGTTCTATGGTAATTAGGAGTTACCATCAAAAACTGGTTAACAGCAGGAGAAACTTCATTTGCTGAATTCTGTTCACCACTATTAATGTGTCTCTGTGAGTCTAACTGCACATTCCCATCCTCATCACCATCCCTGCCAAAGAAGCCAGACACAGTGCCATCATCATCATCATGAACCTCCAGCCTTGGACCCACTATCACATTTTCATCACTGTTTGAGCCACTAAAAGTCTGTGCTATATTTTCTTGTGTACTCTGTGGTAAACTTTCAACACCCACCCTCTCTAAAAAATCTAGCTGTTTCCCCTCATCAACGTCAGCAGCTTCAGAATTCTGGTCTAAAAAACTGTGCTGGCCTGAGTAACCATCAACCCAATGCCCATTCTCATGAATTGGCCATATATTAGGATCAGATGGTTTATGATAAGACTGGGCTGGGCCCTGTTCATGATAATACTCCTGTGTCTTGTCCCCTACCATATTCTGACTCTGCTGAACTTGGTCATAGAACTGGCCTTCAAAGTATTGCTGATCCTGAAGACTGTGTTGCTGCTGAGAGCTAAAATTATGACCATCTTGATCTTGATCAAACATAACTCCTGCAAAGTGCTGCTGACCCTGGTTATAATGTACTCCTGGATCAGTCTGTGCATAGCCCTGTGAGTCTGGGTAGTGCTCTGTATTGTTCCATCCTTGGTTCCATACAGTGGAATACGGATCATTACCATAATATCCACTATCAGAAACTCCACCAACAAACTGTTGGGTCTGAGAAACTGTGCTGGTTTCTGATCCATGTAGATCTTGATCTTCTTTGCCCTGAAGACTACTGTCCTCTGGCTTCCAATCCCAGCTGTTCCAGCCGTTCCAAGCAGGAGCAGCTTCAGCAGAATGCTGAGGATGTGGAATACCAGAATTCTGCTCTGGCTGTGGTGGCAGAGAGACAGACTTTGTCTCAGCTCCTCCAAAAGCTGGTTGTGCCTGGAACTGAGTAGGATCAAACATCTTCACCAGGCCAGCCTGTGAGGATAGGTCTTGTTGAAATGGGCTGCTCTGCCACTGGCTGCTCATCCTGCGGGATTAGATTCCATGATTAATGGGATTTTTATATAAAATATATGGCTAGACCTGTAATTTTATAGACCAATCGGCACTCAGTGAGTTATGTGGTCAACATCACGCTGGCTGCCTTTAAAATAGTGCTGTAAATATCCAAGTGGAAAATCACACAAAAATGTTACAGGCTGTCTGATTTCAATAAAAACATTCATAAATGTTGATCTATTTATTTACCTATAATATATTTAAAAGTTTCATGAAATTCGTTCTTCAGGCTGAGAAAATGTGAACATTTAAAATCTGCTGAGCCAGTATTCAAGGCTTACAGATCTAACTATTTATGCCAAAAAGCCAGAATGTGTAGCTTCTCACTCAAACAGAACATATGTTATGAATGCACATGTTTAATTCAACACAAAATTTTAAGTGTGTGTGTGTTTGTTTGTTTTAGTATCCAGAAGCCATGAGTTGTTTAAACCTTAGGCTCGGTATTATGGATATCGCAACCTTTCGGCCTTGATTCCATTTTAAATACCGTAAATCTGGGAGAAATGTGGCTTTTCTGCCTACCCCCGGGAGTGAACCCGGACTACAAGGAGTTCGTCACCCGCTCACCGCGCAATCCGGTTTAGCCAACTACGCTAGAGAGCCGGGCGTAAGTGTGTGTTACGTTTTGAGTGTGAGGCATCCCTTTTAAATCAGCAACCTACATTTTTCCCAACAAGGTCCTAATTTCTAATGGCAACAAATAAATGTGAACAAAGACTACACAAACAATAGACTGCACCATTTATTCCCTGGTACATTTCATTGTATCTTATTAGATGTATGCTGTGTAATATGCCGGGCAATAAATCATGCAATCTATTGTTTGTGTCTTCTTGTTCAAATTCACAATAGGGAAACCGCTTTGATTTTTTTATAGCAAGTAAATTAACTGACTGCTGAACAAACTCTGAGGTTTACAGACAGTTTCAGCAAGGATAAAGACGGATATACTTGTAGTTATTTAAGTTTATGCTACAAAAATAGTTTATCAAGCATTAATAAAGCTGGATTGGCATCTTTCAGTCTTTCCATACAAGTAACTGTTTTCAGTATGACTCTACAGTACTTGAAAAAAAAAGAGGACTGGATAGAAAGTTTTAAAGTAGCAACAGTCTATGGTAGAAGCAACTTTTCATCTTTCAAGGCAATTTATGTTTTCATGTATAACTTCTTCTTCAGCATTCTGAGCCTTTGAGATTCATTGCTGCAGATATCACCTGCCTCCATCATCTCTGTGATTTGCCTTCTCTCTCCAGCTGGTGACCCAAGTGTTTGTAGGTCTGCCTGTATATTATTTCTACACTGTCTGCTTTGGTCTGCCTCATGGGTTCTATTCTCATCAAACTCTTTTGTGTACAGTTTTTGTCTGATATCTCCCATTCTCTCTATATGCCCCTATCACTGCAGTTTATTAGTTATCATGAAACCAGTCTATCTATCTATCTATTGTCTTCTTCACTTTTACCGGGTTGCAGCCCAGTGTTGTGGTTTAAAATATTTGTTTTGTGCCTCTCGCGTGATTTGATTGACAGTTTTCTGGATCTTCTGGCCGTATTTAGCTACTCCATCTATCCATTTTTTCCTGGGTCTTCCTCTGGCCTTTCTTCCCGATGTTCTACTGTAAAAGGCCTTATAGGCAATCTGATCCGGTTGCATTCTTACTAAATGGCCAAACCATTTCATTCTCTGTCTTTCAATATGTTTCATGCATGATCTTGTTCCAACTTTGTCTCTGACGTTTGTAACTCTGTCTCTTCGTGTATTGTTGGTGACTCATGAAACCAGTAATTAATGATTAGTGAAATAGATTACAAATTTAACTACACTGTCATTTACACAGATGAGTCTATTGTTCGCCATATTAGAAGCTCATGTGCTTTTACAACTCTGGTTGGAGAGAGAACTGTAAAGCAACATCTGGTGCTTTTGCCTTGACTACAAGTAGTCTGATTATCGAGGTCAAGGCAGTGACCAAAGCAATAATGTGGTTGGAGATATAGACCTTCTCCTGCACATGCTTTCTCAGGGACTCAATGAGCATGCTCATGAAGATAGAGATGGGCTGGGTCCAAAGGCAGTGTTTAGAGTCTCTGAGGCTCTTGGAGCTGACAAAGATCTATTTTTTTTTTTTTTGCGTTTTTGCGAGGGCACGCAGGCATGCAAGGAAATGAAGCTGACAGACTCGCAGGTAAGGTTTTTGTGCAGGGTGGACAAGCCATTGATCAGGTTGACATACTGATGCTCTAAAGGAAGTAAGAAGTTTGCAAGACCCAAGAGACTGAATCTGCAACCATGACCTGACTACAAGAACAGCAAGTTAAAAGGGGTGTGGCTAGACAAGAGTAATATGCAGTGAGTCAACAAAAAATGAGAAGCCAAAACAGAACTAGTGTCATCAGCTGCTACACACTGAAAGATTTACTGGGCAGGGGATCCAAGCACTATTGAACTAAATGGTTTGATGTGCAATGATAATCAGATTCTGTCAACTAACTAACATGAATTTCACTGCTGCTGCTTCGGACTCTCCATTCTCTGCTGCTTTCATGTATGAAACTAAAGAAAGAAAAAAAGGTGGGACAGAGTTTATCTCCCGAAAAGGTAAAGAACTAAGAAGAATCATCTTTTGTTATTGTGACTACTACTCAAAGCAATCTTCATTTTAAAAAAGTTGATAAAATCAGAGAATTAAAAACACAAGAGTTAATAAATGATTTAAGTTGATTTACTATTTTTTTTCTACGTATTTTATTTCGATCAGCTGAATTTAATGTTTTATAGATTTAGATTAAATCTGTCAGCATCTGCCAACGAAAAAGAATTATTAAAGTTTACAAAGAACGACATGTTTGAGTTTGTTCATTAAGTTCTTTCAAACTTTACTAAATTATTACTACTTCTGAGTCTTCTGTTCTGTTATATTTTTTAACACCTCTCAGATAATTTAATTTAATCCAAGCTGCAACGATAATTTAGCGTTAATGTAAAAATAAATATGTGGATTAAACACAAAGTAATAAAGTCGTTCAGCGAATGAGGATGTGGGAATTTAAGGAAGCGAAGCATCATATCAGACGGATGACCACTCACTCAATTCAACAAAACATTGAACTTTTTTACATTTTTACAACAAAAATACCAAGATGCCTTCGTCGGTTTTCTTGTCTACTCACTTGTCAAATATAATTGGTTTTTATTGTCAGAGATGTAATCCATCGAAGAATACAATTATTAAGGAAATTTAATTAGAGGTAACTCAAAAAGAGGAGAAATTTCGTGTGACCGGAAAGTGCTGATGACAACAACAAGACGGGTAACACTTTGTGTCCATGCCCGACATGATTACGTGTGACTTCTGCAGCCTTGTACGTAACTGCGGCTGTGAAAAAAATAGTGGAATTAAAATTTGTTCAGTGTTAGAATATGTTGAAGCTAGAACAATTTAAATAGATTGTTATTTTATTTTTAACTATATTTTTCCAACTATCTAACATCATCCCAACCACTGTGGGTGAGCATTTATGATTTCCTAATACAGTGCCTGATTCAATGTTGTTTTCGAAACTTGACAATCTTCTGACTTCTCACTCTAATGTGTCTGAATATGCAAGAAGAATGCAGTGAAACAAGAGGGGAGACTAAATCAAGAGATGAGTGAACAGGAGTCGAGCAACAAATCATCTACTTAAAAGTTTAGGAGGGGGTTGAATCAACCCTCCCCCTTTCCACCCACCCAACCCCCTCCCCCCAACAATAGGAGAGGGCCCAACCTCACCCCCAACGACGCCCTTCTCGCCACCAAACTGAAAACTTGGATCTAAGACCTTTTCAACCCTACCCCCCTCGTCTTTCCTCCGAAATAAGCAAGAAAATATTGCAGGACTTCCAAACCAAGACCTCCTACCACCTTATAAATTTTCTAGGCAAATAATTTGTTGTGGCGGTCCTTAGGTCCTTTAGTGCCTCCACCCCACCCCCTCCCCCTTCTTACCCTGATCACAAGAGTGGAGGTCCGCCACCCCCCCCCCCCTAATTCCCCTAATTGTGAAGGACTTTAGTTTCAGACACGACAGTTTCATTTAGAGCTGGAATCGCTGTTTATTTTGTTTGAACTCAATGGAGTGGTACATTTTAATTCATTGTGGAAGCGGCACCTGATCGATATATGCATTTGAGGCATCCCAGGCGTATGACAGATAGTGTCAATCAGCATAGTTTAAAAAAGGACACTTTTTCGCTCATTCAGGCGTACTGGGTGATATGGTCAACATCTAGCCGACAGCCTTTACTTCCTAAGACTATCCCTGGTACCCGTTCAGGCTGGGTCGACCTGGGAGCCAAGGTCATTTTTTTAAAAGCCTGGCTCCATCAGGACTCGAACCCACTACCTTTGGTAGATATTACATCAAGGTGGCTCCCCAGCCAACGTAGGCTGACAATATAAGCCGCGAGCTGCTGATGTATGTTATCTTATATTATGTTATGTTATCACAATCGACGTTACTGAACATTGAGCATTTCCATGCGTGCTCAGTCCCCCAAATGTTGATTGTTCCCATAAACGGATTGTTCCCATGGGGAGTTGATTGCAATTTCCCAGATACTGACCTCGAAGACGGAACCCGAGTGATTAACCAGGTTTCATTTCAAGTCATGTAATCGTGTTAAGGTCAGAGATTCATCACTAACCGCCAGTCTAATCCTATAGCGTTGATAATTTCAGCTGTGACCATGTTCCTTCTTGGAGCATCGGTTGGAAGCCTCTATCATAGACAAAACTTTGTAGTCTCCCATTTGCTTCCATTCAAGAGGGTCGATTTCACTGCAATGGCTCGGTTTGCTACTGTAAAATGGTTAGCTACCCGCGAGGAGGCGAACTCTTTAGCTCCAGCAATGGGGCTCCGTAAACATTTCTCCCGTGAACCAAACAGTGCGCCTTCGGAGCGGAAGGCAAACAGCTTGAC